GCAAGTATAGCTAAGGTCATTCTGACGTAGATTTATGGCGGCTTCATGTTACTTTCTCCAATGGATTAAAGATGTAAATTTATAAACAGATATTGATTTCCCATTTATTTCGTATCATAATGATTCCTTTGCGTTCAGGCAATGGAGTTCCGTTTGATAGTAAACGTGAACGAGTTAAGGTGGAGGTAACGCTTCATAAATATTTTTTTGTGCAACGGCTGAGGGAAAGAAGCATGACAACGAGGCCGGAAGAAGCTTTTAATCTGAGCCCTCTGTATTGCATATATACGATAAAGTATATTTTTTCCTTGTTGCGCCTAGCCGTAAAAACTGACCGGGTTTTGAAGCCAATCAAAAAAGCTGCAGTATCACTCTTAAGAAATGAAGGCGCCTGTCATGTAAGAACACTTGGATTTAGAAACAGTATGACTGCGTACGATATAACGCGAATGGGGCAGAGATCATTTGAAAGCGGTTGTCAAGTCTCGTAATCCTTAAAGTTGAGAAAAAAATTATTCTGTAAATTTCCAAAAGAGCGAAAGTGTTTCAAATTCGGATTTCGAAACTTAATTTAACTGCAACCTCACATAGAAATCCTCCCCTTGTAGATAGAGAAAGGAATTTATGGTTAAGGCAATAAATGAATGGGAAGACCTGACTAAAAATTGCATAATATTGTTAAACAACTCAGTCACGAAGGTATTGTCTCTTTAAATGTTTTCATAACTTATTGCTTCTCGTGTGGTACTATGAAAACAGAATTAAATGTTCAGCCAGAATTTTATTCTATTTTCAGAGCTTATCACCAGGGGGGGTCCCCTTAATTTGGATTTGCTTCCCTCTGTAGTAGATAAGCAAAGACTTAAAGGAAGTTATCCTTTGTAATGGTCGGGTCAATTTGCCTTTTTTCAGTTTAAAGAGAGAGAGAGAGAGCTCCTTAGTGTTAGATCGAATTTAAGTGCCACTCCTGCTAAGAGCGGTCGTCTCGACTTCCCGTCAGAAAAAACGTTTTCTTTTATTTTTTGCCCATACTCACTACTTTTTACGAAAGAATTATAGAATTAATCGGGCTGAAAAAGCATATCAATGCATAGTTTATACACCAATGAGGTCACAGATTGCCTCAAATCCGCGGGTATATCTCTAGCTTCCATCCACCAACTTCTTGAAAACAACGCAAATCCATGTGTTTGCTCAATTGCGCTTGTGTCAAAGATCCTTTGCAAGATTCTTAGAATTGACCAAGATCTCCTTTTGACCGTTCAAACCTCGTTCGTTTATCTTCTAAGTTGAGGATGTTAGGTTTTCACCGCCACTGAATGGAGATTAGATGCCGAGTTGTCCTAAAACGTTGCGTAAACGTGATCGGTCGTAACGCTTGCGCGCTTGCGTGACTTACAAAGTGGACAAAGGTGATCGGAAGGCGCCTTCTCGATAATTTCCGTTGAAATATCAGTTCATGAACTACGCACAGTGTGGAGAAGATCAAAATTAAAGAATAGAATTTGACACTCTGGTCATAACAGACATATCGCGTTGCTTAAAAGGACACAAAAACAAGTTAATATAGGTTGCACTGTTTATATCTACAAAACAACACGCATACACTCTGAAACAATTCTTGCAGTTTCTCCCAAAACTCGATAAGTCGATTTTAATTCGTTACACTAACTAATTTTGGTTTCAATTTGTAGAACCCGCGAAACAGGCCATATGGCAAGGTGAAAAGTTTGCACAATCACGTCACGCAATATATCAGCTGAGTTTGATGGTCGCAGGGAAATGTCGAGTTTGTCGCTCCAAAACTGTTGTGGTCCATAAGAGCGTAATATCATTAGTGATGGAAACAAATCGGCGGAAAGGAGGGTTAGTTCATATGATATGCTGATATTTCAACCTAAAATCCTCAACGTAGAAGATAAAAGAACGAAGAAGCTGAAGCTGAAGTTTCCATATTTTGTATGTGAACTAACTGAATACACCTTGTAACTTGTAGCAAGATAGAATTCCGTGAGCAACATTGTTGCAGTCGCTGCGCGCTGGACAAAATCTTTGAAATTTACACCTTCGATCGCTGTCCACAGGGGTGGCCTGGCCAAAAATCATTTTTGGCTTGTGGCGACACAAAAAAAGAGAATTGGAGAACAACTAAACGATTTTTGAAACATGTGTCCTAAACCCTTTTCATGGGCAAAAAATAAAAGAAAACGTTTTTCCGACGGATAGTCGAGAGGACCGCTCGTAGCGAGAGTGGCACTTAAGCATTGTCCACCAGCATGGATTTGTGCTGTTGTATGTCAAAGAGCTATTATTGTTTTGACTATATTATTACAAGGAGGTAATGCAGTAAAGACGTGGCTATATTGTGACCGAAAGTAGTGAAAAGGCATATAAATGTTGCTGGATAAGAAAAGAGGTTCCAAACGCGACTTACTTTGTCTTATATGACTCCCCCTGTGTCCCATTAGGATCTGGCGGGAAAATTTGCTTTCAAAGAGAGATCAAGTAACTTTTAGCTACTGCTGCGAATAAGTTTGTGAAATAAGGAGAAAAAGGATCAACATCTGTCCAAACATGATCCATCTACTTGAATAATGAGTTGGTGTGTTAGAGATATTTACGCTCACACCAGGGTTTTGCATATTGTTTTAAGGCTTAAAGGCAGTTAAATGAACTGGAATCTCATATTTTGACTTCATAGTCGAACGTTATTTTTCACTTTTGTTTCATTTTTAATCATGTATATTGTATGAATTATTCCCACTTTTACAGTATTCATTTGCAAATGATCGAAGTTGTTCACGAATATATCTGCCTGAGGTAGAAGCCTCAAAACTCGAATAAAGCCATCAACTTGTTTTACAGTTTAGATAACTTCTTTCTGCGGAGTAGAGGGTTCGTAGTTTTATCAAGAACGATTTTTTTTACGAATTAAAACTTCCGTAGAAATCCCCTGCCTTCAATTAACATCGATGATAGTTCTTACAGCAAGCTCTACTTTCCTTCACAATATAGTCACGATTTCACTTCATTACCCCCTTATCATGATGTAATAAAAACAATAATACCTCTTTGACATACTACAGCGCAAATCCATGCTGGTGGACAAGGACTTGTTCACTGTGTGAAAAAAAAAAAAAAAAATTGGCGCGACCATTACAAAGAGCGAATCCAAACCAGGGAGACCCCCGGCGATAAATAAGGACCGGTTTCCTTACTCAGCCTAAGTATACATATAAATATATATATAAAACACCAACTCGCTATTCAAGTAAATGGATCATGTTTGGACAAATGTTGATCTTTTTTGTCCTTATTTCACAAACTTATTCGCAGCAGTAGCTGAAACTCACTTAATTCTCTCTTTCAAAGAAAATTTTTTCCTGCCAGATCCCGACGAGTTTTCCATGGATGACACGACGCATCATATACGACAACGTAAATCACGTTTGAAACCTCTTTCCTTATCTACCAACATTTATATGCCTTTTCACTACATTCTTCATTTTCTTAGTCAAAACAACCAGCCTTGGTTCCTCAGTTAAGTTTTAGACGTCGTCTAAGTGGCTTTCAATGTTTAGCGATGTTATACGACATTTGCACTAATTCTTCGTTACTTGGCTTGCCATTCTTAACTGAATATATTATGAAAAGTGCAATCAATGTTGCGGTAATATAATTTTTAAAGGAACTGTGACTTGTACTCTTGCTACGTAATGAATGGATGATTGGTTAGCGTCAGTCCTCCTCTCAGAAAAGTATTCCTAGATCTGTTTAGGAAAATGCAATGTATTACCTCTTACACGATTCTTTCAAAGCGGTTATGATTCATTATACCGTTAGCAGGACGGTCCAGTTTTTCGGCCTGGACAAATATCACTAAAAAAATAAGTATTATTCAGCTTTACCGACTTGTTTATGATTTGTTCGAGAAATGGCGGACTACAATTTTTCACTAATTTTTGTTCTGAATTATCTGTTCAGGGATGAAGTCATTGCTTGGAAAAGCGCGATGCCGAATTTTTTCTATTTAATGGAAAAAAATTGTCGTAGTAGGGGCGAACCGTTGGGGGTAAGCTTTCGATGAGATGAAACCCCCATGAACCAAAGAGTCATAGCATTTCAGTCCGAAGAAGGGAAATAATATATTTGATCTTTAATGCCCTTCCGCAAATAACAACCAGCTTCTGCAAACCTAATGCTAAGGCCGTTATACATTTTATGCATATCCACCCAAGGAAAGCGTAACTCTATACTAAATCGAAACCCAAACAGTGTCTAGCATCTAATTTCTCCCAAAAGTATCACTCCTGAATCAACCATTACGGTCACGAGAATAAAGGAAATGATCAGCAACCTAAAGAGGTTATTATTGCTAAACCAATTCTCCTTGTCAGTTCCATAGGAAATGTGCAGAGAATAGTAAGGAGAATATGTATTCTAATGTTGAAGTGTGAAGGGTTGATTAAGATACTTCAGGGTGGGAATGTACTCAGCGTGTTTTAAACATCTGAATGAATTCCAACCTCTTGATGTTCTTTGTCCAGCGGTTCTTTAGTGCAAAATTGCAGTAAATATCTATTCTCTAAAACTACATTTTCTATATCATCAAGGACAAGGAAAATGAATTACTTACATGGTGCGAAAGCTCGTTGATGCTCTATGTAGTACTCAGATAGACATATAAAGTAATATAGAAATGACTCAATCTTTTCAAGTAGTGTACTAAGGACAGGCCATTTTTACAAGCTTATTAGCAACAAAACTGTTCTGCAAAACATTTGCATTGCACCTTTTTGTCGCACAAGGCATCGTACAAAACTTTGTAAGTGGCATCTGCGCCTTCCTTTCGGTGCCAAGCTATTTTAATAGCTTGGCATTGTTAAATGTTAAAACAAATGTTAAAAAATTTTAAAAGCCTTCTTTTTCAGCCCTCTATAATCTTCATCAAAGCAAGTTATTGCGGCTTGGTTGAATCCCAGGCGTCCTTCTAATTTCTCCTAATTATTTCCAAGTTCCAGAGACAGATCTTCCAACTCGTCTACTGATGGTCCACCAGCCTTGACCAAATTAAGCTGAGGATAATAATGGATGGAGAAGGAAAAAAATTAGAAAAAAGTGCTTCAAGTATCTGGTGAATGGCGAGCAGTGGTGGCGAAAGGTGATTTCTCTTTTTTTTATTATTCGATATCGAATCGTTGGGCTTGAGGACTGTCAGGCTTCAGCAAGAGTCATTTTTAGTATGGGAAAAAAGGAATTTCCTCAAGACAAACTGCCTAAATAGCTTTCTAGACTCATCTATTCTGACCTCTTCATTTGCGCAGGGCTCTACAACCATCTTTAACATGGAGGTCATGAACCACGTTTTCTAGGAAGCAGCCTCTCGTCATAATTACCATATTTTTCCTCAAATGCAATGCTGTTGCTATGGAATGAATCAGTAGGGAATGTCATGGAGCCGTCATGGGATTTTTCTGGTGGCTGGGATTAAGCGATGTAAATTTTTACGACTTGTTTAAATGAAGGTGAAAATATTTAGTCACAATTTTTGTTAATGAGGTCCACCCACAATCACAAACTCTTTAAGCAACTTGCTTCGAATCCCAGGCGACGTCCATATCTTCTCATTTACGCGGTAGTTTGCGGGAGTGCCAGAATTAGCCGCAGTTAATAGGAAAATATGTAATCTTTTGTTCTTGACATTCTCACTGCGTGTCAAATAACGCAAAAGTTATAATTGTCCTAATGCTATCATAGCTCTGCTATAAATGAGGGTTATGTATATTCAAGTCTTCAACCGTTTTGTGGAGGTCAACTCCACCCCTCCCAATGTTGAACGTCAGAAACATCAGTCTCTTCCGAGAAATGGTGTTGAATGATTGATTCAATGGGTACAAGAAAGCGGACATTATCTTTATGACTTGTTTTAAAAACGATAAACGGTACTTGAGAGCGCCATGGTTTTCTGAGATACTTTCAGATATTCTAAAAGTATCTGCATGCAAATCAAGACTTTAGAAACTTTACGAAGGGTAATTACCTCTGGTCACCTTTGCTTTCGTATAATCAGGAGTCGACGAGCGTCTCTTTCGATTTGATTTATCTGAAAAAACAAGATAAGAATGTGATGAATGCGTAACAGTCAGTCTTAAATAACCTTCCCCCTACAATGCGTTTACGGTGACAATTCTTCCATTTACTTCCCGAGACTCGATTAAACTTTGTACAGATCTTCCCTCATGCTCTCGGTGTACTCATCTACGTCAAGAGTGCCAAATGGCTGGCACCAAGAAGGTACTATAAGTTTACCTTTGATAAGAAAAAACTGACTTGTTCTAGGATTAAAAGGCTATTGGATGAATTGACTAACCAGTGGATAAAATGCCTGAAGTTTTTCTTTATGATTCTTGGACAAGATTTTTGTCATCCATCCTCCCTATTGCAAAGTTTTCATGGTCAGGGAAGGAAGGGAGAGGGAGAAGCAGCGCGCGCGGGATGGAGATAGATAGGAAACACAAAGTATACTTTTTGATACCTGACTGGCTCCTCCCAAACTAAGAACGAACAAAAATACACATTTATAGACATCAGATTTTTTATGCATATTCGACCAACAGCTAATAAAAGATAGATCAATCGCGGCAGAGAATCACGTCTTGTAGGTCGTGGGTAGTCAGTCGACCACACTAACTTATTTACTCACTGAATTCTAGCAGCATGCACCCGAAACGTGAGAAACAAACAAAAGTGATTCTCATAAAATAACACTAATTATCATTTATCAGAGTTACTTACTTTCATAGTGGGGCCATTTCTCAAACACATTACTGTCATCTAGCATATGCGCAACCAGTGAAGCTGCCATTACACTTGCGAATGGCCTCCAAGGATTAGTAGCAGATTTGCTACCATCGCCGAAGTCTGAAACTCCTTTGATAACTAACCATTCAATTCCATGGTTATGAGCGGCTGCGTAAAGACCTAGAGAGGAGTTAAAATTCTGTTAAAACACACCAAAACGCAGTGGTTTTATTAAAATATCGGAGGAACGAATTGTAAACTTTGACGACTCGTTGCAATGCTTGTGCTCAGTACTGTGTGCAAATCTTCAAGGATTTAGGGGAACTATTTTTTATCTTTTCCTCCACATATTTGCATAGAACTTTTAGTCTTAAGCATGTATCTTTGGTTATGTTGTACGTGTTATGTCAATAAATCATCGATTTATTCCAGCGTGCAAACCTCAAGAAGGCACGCTTTCCTTGCTTATCAATAACAGTACACAACAGACAAAATATATAGAACTGCTGATGGTACGCAGCACTTTTGGCCAAAAGAAAAATGTTCGATAAATTATTACAACTTAAGTAGATCACTTTTTCTGCAATAGCGTCTATAGGATCAAGGGCTCTAAATAAAGTTATGGAGTACTTTAGACAATACCTTCGCCTTCCATTTCGATGGCAGTTCCTTGGCGAAATCGCTCCTTTAATTGTCGCCGATGTTCTGGGTTATCAAGCACAGTAGGGCCACTGAGTAGCACGCCATCATTGCGTACTGTCACTTTTAGGTCTTTTGGTTTTTTTAGAGGTGCTTTCCAACCTGCCCCGGCATCCTTGATGAGTTTAGCCATACCCTGCTGTGGAGGAACAACATGGCCGCGTTCTTCGATCCCTTCCTTCCTCACTTTGACTAAAGCGTAGGTTATCAACTTTGCAGATACAATGACATCACCAAGCTTCGCTTTATTCTCGTCCAAGCTGGCACAATAACCCACACAGATGACCGCTTTGGGCTTCAAGATTGGAACCGCACCTTGGACTACAACTATGGAACCACCAGGGGCGGCGGCGCCCATTGAGCATTGAATCACGGCAATTTTCAATTTTGAGCTATTAAACCCGAAATACACAGGGCCGAGCTCTTCTTCGCAACCCCTCTCAATGTGTTTGAGAAAGGAGAGGCAGCTTAAAGCTTCACATTCCTTTGCTGTTAATAGCAGAAAATCAACAGGCAGGAATTTTTCTTCGATATCTTCCCAAGGCGTTGTCTTTGGGGGGAGATCCTCCTTCTTAAGCACTTCTACTATCTTTTTAAGCTCTGGAGGTTCTCTCATGCTCTCGCCCTGATTTCCTCTTTCACCAGCGTGGGTAGTGCTTTCCATGTTTCACAACGCCTAAGAATAAACAAAAATTCCCTTGAAGGCAATCTGACTAATCTGTACGATGGATACCTCTCTCATGCTGTCTCACTCACGCATAGGTAATAACTCAGTTTAGATGGCTAAGTATGAAGGTATTGGTAAGCTGCATCTTACGCAAGTATGCATAAGTATTCTGATACTCATAATTTATGTGATCGAGGCATATGCTAGTTTGGAGAGAAGTATTTTTTTGAGAGAATCTTATTGTAAACGTTTCGTTGATTGATCGATTTATTTTCATACGATCAATTTCTTCTTTCCCTTGCTCTACGTTACTGTGAGCAAAGTATATGCCAGTACATGCAGATGCTGTGTTTCTAGAGATTAATTTTTACCTTGCTTTACATTCAGACATTCAGGAGTGAAGCGTTCAGCAGAGCAATCCATACTGTCAGTCATTAATTGATGATTTTACAGTGCACTTTGGACTGCTTTTTTAGATTAATTTTCCCCTTGCTCTACACTACTGTGACCAGGGTATATGTCGGTTAGGAGTAAGGCTATTTGCTGAGGATATTTATTGTTACTCATTGATTGATCAACCACAGCACATTGTAGGAGCAGCACCTCTATTTTCCCTTTCTCTACACTACGGTGATCAAGGCATTTATCAGTGAGGAGTAAAAATTTTAGCCGAGGAATCCTTACTGTTAGGTATTAATTGATCATTTTGAAGTACTGAAAGTTCACTGCTTCTAATGCTTAATTTTTTTCTTTCGCTTTACACTACTGCGGGAAACGTATGTGTCAGTTAGGGATGTGATCAAGGTATGTGCCAGTTAGGAGTTTGATCAAGGTATGTACTGGTTAGGAGTGAAGTTGTTAGCCGAGGAATCTTTACTGCTGGGTATGGATTGACCAGTTAAAGCACTTGTGTCTGCAATACTTCTAGTAGTGAACCTTTTTTTTTCATTGACGGATTGTTACTGTTAGGCTCAGATTTATCATTTTACAGTATATGCGTATGCAATGCTTATATCGATTAATTTTTTTCTCTTTCTCCACCCCACTGTGATAAAGGTATATACAAGTTCCAAGTTAAGCTTTTAGCAGAGGAATCCTAACTGGTAGGTATTGCTTGATCACTCTACCGGACATGTATTGTACGTGCAGTGTCTATTATGATAAGCTTTTTCCATTGCTCAAAATTAAACTACCGTAATCAAGGTAATTGCCAATTAGGAGGGAAGCTTTTTGCTGAGGAATCCATTCTGTCAGTCACGGATTAATCATTAATAGTGCATGTTGGTGCAGTGCACCTACTAATTAGTCTTTTACTTGCTATACACTTCTTTGTTCAAGGGATATACCGGTTAGGAATGAAGATTTTTGCTGATGAATCCTTACTGTTAAGCATTGATTAAATATTTACAGTACATGTAGGTGCTATGCTTTCATTTGCTAATTTTTTTCCCTTTGCTCTAAAGTACTGTGATCAAGGTACATGCCAATTAAGGAATGAAGCTTTTTTAGCTGAGGAATCCTTTCTGTTAGACATTGATTGATTACTTAACAGTACATGTGAGTCCATTCTTTTAATGATTATTATTTCCCCTCGCTCTACACTACTGTCTTCAAGGTATGTGCCAGTTAGGATCGAAGCCTTTTTAACAGAGGAATCCTTTCTGTTAGGCATTGATTGATTATATTTCAGTATACGTAGGTGTAAGGCTTCTAATTATTAATTTTTGACCGGATCTTTCAAGTTTGCAGCGCCCTGAATAGTCGGATTTGGGAATTGACTAAAATTGAAGTTGAATTCTCCCTTGAATCTGTTTTCTGGGGCTACACAAACTGTTTGCCTTGCAAAAATGTAGCTTAACTCCGTGCATTTTTGTAGTGGTTAGGTTTCCATATATAAATGTAAGATGGAAGGACGAACCACCTAAAGTTTCACCATAGCATTGGAAAATTTGTCATTCTTAGTCTTTACTTTATTATTCCACTTTACTCAAGAAAAACTCTTAAGTAAGTGGAAACTAATGAAAAAACTCTTTTTTCGGTAACTTATGCAATATACGTAACATGGAGATTTAAGTAAAGCTTCATTATGTCTTACATATAAGTGTATACTGTTGACAATATTTTATTTTCTGTAACTGATGTATCCTAAGTGTTTGTAATAAAGTTTTAATTCAGGCAGGAAAAAAATACGGTGATGCACGGTGCATATATTTTGCAAATCAAAGGAACAATACTTTATTTGTTATTTGGACAGCAAATATTTTACTTTCCTTTGAAAATTGGACCAACAATCTGTTTAACACTTAATGGATAAAGAAAAGGTTTGTATATATTTGTATTTATTTGAAAACTGGTATATATATATATATATATATATATATATATATATATATATATATATGCGTGTAAATAAATGTTTATATACTACAAATCAAATTGCCGGAAAATGATAAAAAAAAATGTTGCAACTTTCTACAAAAAAGCTTATTACAGTATCAACAAAACAATTGTACAGACTAGTTATAAAAAGTCCTATATGTGAGCAACTGAATTTTTAGTTTTCAAATAATTGAACTTTGTGTTGTATAATTTTGGTCTGCAGTCATAGTTGCGACTTCAAATCAAACTTGGGCTGCGCACTTGTTTGATCTTGAAATTACGCTTGTGATTTAAGACCAAATTGCATTCCTCTCAGTTTCTTTACCATTATATAAATAAACACCTGTGTTCAAAAACGTTGCAAATTTGAAAATATTTATTAAATACCATCCCTTTTTTTTCTCATCAAAAAGAGACACTTATACGCCCAAAAATGGCTATGTATATATGTATACATATATACACATACCCACACATGTATATATAGAACAGCGAAACGGCCCTATTATCGGGGCTAAAACAGATCTTTTCGATTTACAGCGTCGCTCGTACTGAGGAATATCGACCCAAAGTCGCGGCAGTAAGGACAGAGCAAAGCAAGGACCATACTAGATCGAATGAGGGCCAATATTACCCAGTATAGGTATAAGAAAGCGAGGTTTTAGAAGGCATTTTGGGCCAAACTTGTTTATTTTGAGCCGGCTTTCGTGAACAAAAATGCACGCCTCATGACCGTCTCCATGGAAACAGTTCTTATGGCAAAGTACAGACCAAGAAAGAACCAATCACAAAGTTTGGATTTACCTCCATAACAAGTTGATTCGCAACATGATAAAGCTGAAGCGATGATACTTAATTGACAATAAATGATATGAAAAAACAAAACTATTCAAATCTACACTTCTGGACGAAATGACAAAATTTTGGTCAACTGAAATTTTAAGTCAATTAAATTTGTTGCTATCACGTTTCCGCTAAGCTGCATAAAATATGAACAAAAACTAATATGTCCTAAAATCCGCTCAGAAAAAGAGACCAGAACTACGACAACTATGAAAAGTTACATGGATAATAATAACTTAAAGCCCGAAGGGTAAAACTAGTTTTACCAACACAAATCGCAAGATTAATTTACCTCATTTTCATGGTGAGAACCGAAAAACGAGTATCCGATTGTACTGACAGAGCAGATAAATAAACTTGCCTACATGACTCACAGAAAATTAATAGCGTAAGTCAGAGATCATATTTTTTGATCTTTCAAGATTCTTATAATCGATGCACAACCAATAAATCGATTCCCACAACCAGAATTGCTATCGCGTACGGTTCAAATCCTTCAAATGTTATGTACATTTTAAAAAAAAAGGGGACTAAGTGGTTGTAAGCCATGAAAACAGCGAAAAATCGCGCTCTTGCATGTCCATCCACGACAAAGTTATCACTCAGGAATTGACTAAAAATCGCCGCTTTGCTTCGGTGCAAATCTCATCGAACGAGTAATACTTGGGGCTCCCGCGTAGACTACAAAGTGCTTTCTCTTAACGAAACTTATACTAAAGCCGGCATATCTTAACTAAAATAACCGGATCAGTTTCTTTTAACTGCAGTCATCAAATATCCTCGCCACTTCTCGTCGGAAGGGAATCTATCGATTAGATGAACCATCGAGGAGTAATGAGAATAACTGAAGACAAAGTCATTCGGCCATGTGCGTTAAGTAATTCTCACAATATCCTCTACTGTTTAAATCACTTCTGCATGTGTCGTGTTAAATTAAAACAAATGGATTAAGTGGTCTCTAACCAACGGCTTTTGCTCTTAGATATTTATCTATGATAAAGCTAGTCATCTGAAATTTATAAAAACCCGCTTGGTCTCGTTTCAAATTACCAGATGAACTATTAATTTTATGGGGTTGTTAGAGTGGTTCTCGTGAATGTGTGAAATACATTTAGCATATTTTGTACTATTACCTCCCAATTTGTTTGTTTCTATTCGGAGTTACTGGGCTAGTATACTTTAGTTAATACATTCTGGTTTATTGGTTAGAGTGGTTTCACTAAACCTGGTGATAACTAATTAACTGTTAGTGTTTAGAGTATTTTTCATTATCCGTGAATGAATAGAGTAATTAATAGTTAGTATTGTACTGTGAATTTTTTGCTTTCTTTTGTTCTTTATCGACTACTATACACTTACGAGTCATTTCTTTGCATGTTGCATTTTCGGCAAAGAAACTGTGATACGAGAAACCAAGAAAATTTCGTATGCGACAGAGAGATTCCATTGTACGGTCACAGTCACATAAAAGGACGCTTAAACGTGTGTTCTATAAACCACTGTATTTTAATATGAAGTGAACAAAGTTAAGAATACCACTAAAAATACCAAGTAAGCTAAAGAGATGCTTTGTGTAATAATAAAAATATGAGTTGTACAATGTTATTACGAAAATGATGACTATCTAAGATTTATTTAATAACTTCCTAGAAACATTTAAAAACATTGATCTATTTATCTATTCTAAACTGTTTTAGCTTGGGTACTGCTGATGAATTACATTAATGTTATTAGATGCTAAATGCTTTGTGACCTTTTGTTCCTTTACATCTTTTAGAGTGATAATCATTTGCCCATTTCCACCAAAGTTATTTATTTTGAGCCAGCTTTCATAAACAAAATGCACACCTTATGACCGTCTCCGTGGAAACAGTCGTTATGGCAAAATACAGACCAATCCCAAGGTAAGAACCAATCCCAACGTTTGGATTTGCTACAGAGCTATCTTGCCAGAAAACAAGTTGACTCGCAAAATGATATTGCTGAAGCGATGATACTTACTATTTGAATTGACAATAAATGTTATGATAACTTTGAATAACTATTCAAATCCACGCTGCTCGACGAAATGACAGAATTTTGGTTAACTAAAATTTCAAGTTAACGAAATTTGTTGCCATTATGTTTTCTCTGAGCTGCATAAAATGTGAACAAATACAGTCGAACCTCGATCATTCGGACTCGTTGGGACTAGACGAAATAGTCCAAATAATCGAGAATATGAATATTAATGAGGAACAAGAACTGATTAAATAAAGAAAGCGACAATTAATCGTGAAACAAAACATTTACAAATCGGTTTGAAAAAAATATGGCTATATCGTGTAGAGGTCTTCTGTATTAATTGCGGATATCAGATATCTGCTGCGTACTAACGCCGTATTCAGCAGACAAATGTGTTCCTTTTTTCGCTTTACTCTAATCGCAAAATTGTAGAAAGAACGGGCCGTTTACGTTTTGAGGACATGATAATCGTGATTAAACATTCGTGACGCTGTGTAGCTTATCTTGCGTACCACGCCGAACGAGCCAATAGAGCGTGAAATCTCACTTAGCAACAAAGCAGCTCTAAGCCAATCAGACCTCATTCGAATGTTCTTCGTTAGTTACAAAGCGTTCGAGGCAGGTTTTTGCGTTTTGAAAGCGAAACAAAGTCGCCTTTTATTCGCTTTTCAACGCTGTAGTTTTAAAAGGAATATGGCTACGGATCTTGATCATGACTAATGGATATTCATGACAAATTTGGGACCAGAAAAAAAGTATGGATAATCGAGAAATCCGGATAATCGAGGTTGGACTGTACCAATATGCCCTAAAATCCTCTCAGAAAAAGAGACCAGAACTACGACAACTATGAAAAGCTACATTAATAAAAATAACTTGAAACCCTAAGAGTAAAGCAAGTGTTATCAACACAAATCGCAAGATTAATTTACCTCACTTTATGATGAGAACGAAAAAACGATTATATGACTGTACTAAAACAAAAGTTTTGATGTCAACCTCACAAATTCATAATCTTTCAACATGGAGAGAAAAAGCATATAGATAAACTTGCCTTCATGACAAAAAAAATTCATAGCGTAAGTCAGTGATCATCTATTTGATCTTTCAAGATTCCTAGAATCTAAACACAACTGATAAATCAATTCCCACAGCCTGAAGTTCTATCGCCTACCGTTCAAATCATCCATGCATTGTGTACATTAAAAAAATGGGACTAAGTGGTTGTAAGCCATGAAATCAGCGAAAATCGTGCTCTTGCATGTCCATCTAAGACAAAGTTATCACTCAGCAGTTGAGTAAAATCGCCACTTTGCTTCAGTGCAAATCTCATTGAACGAGTGATGCCTGGAGCTCCCGCTTAGACTAATAATTGCTTTCTCTTAACGAAACGCATACCAAAGCGGGCATATCTTGACTAAAATAACTGGATCAGTAACTTTAAACTGCAATCATCAAAAATCCTCGCCACTTCTCGTCGGAAGGGAATCGATCGATTAGATGAAATATCGAGGAGTAATGAGAATAACTGAAGACTTAGTCATTTGGCCCCATACGATAATTGATTCTCACAATATCCACTATTGTTTAAATCATTCCTGCATATGTCGTGTAAAATTAAAACAAATGGACTTAGTGGTTTCTAATCGACGGCTTTTGCTCTTGGATGTTTATCTATGATAGAGTTAGTCATCTGAAATTGATAAAAACCCGCTTGGTCTTGGTTCAAATCACACCGAAGGAATAATGCTTGCGCTTTCGTCTTCCGTAACGCCCATAGTCAAAATATATCTTTCTCTACTTACCTTCACTTTCTCTTTAAAATGAAAATGTTTATATTTGACTCTATGAACAAGACCGTGAAGACACACGATATTACTTCGTAAATGGTTTGTGAATCGACAGAACTACTCGAAAAGTTAGCACTTCTCAAACAGTTTCGTTCTAGACTTGCAAATGTCTGTGAATAATTTGTCGGATTCTGTAATTATGCAAGCATAACCAAGGTCACTCTGATGATCCTTTTAAAGTGATTGGCTCTCATTGGAGCAATTTATTCACTCATTGCACCATGTTTTGTACAGCATCGCATTTATTTCCCAGCCAATGAAGAAGCTATACTAAAATAGTTTGCTTAAAGACACTAATCAAATTGCAGGAAAATGAAAAACAACTTTTTCAACTTTCTACAAACAAGTTCACTGCAGGATCAACAAAAATTTGTGCGGACTTAAAAATCCTATGTATGAGCAGCTGCATTTTGCGTTTTAAAAATGGATATAATGAAGTGGTAATTGAACTTCGTGTTGAGCAATTTTGGTCGGCAATCATACTTATGATTTCAAATCAAACTTGCGCTGCTTACTTGTTTGATTTTAAATTTACGTTTGTGATTTCAGTGTGAATTCACTCCACTCAGTTCCATTATCATTATATAAATATACACCATCTAAATATAGATATGAAGCCATTTAATTATGTGGTACAGATATGAAATGGCTCAAGTGAGGCCAGTTTACATCATATCATTACCATTTTAACTCTTTTCAGGGGCTGTTTAACATAGTTCTTCCAAACAGCTCCTGTCATGAGCATCGTTTCAGACCTTATGAGGCCCATTTAGCCATTTATCTGCTTTGTTTTGTGACATAAGTTTACTTAAATTGGCCACAAAATGGTAGCCAATTTTTATCCTCTCTAAATAAAGATTTGGCTCTAAAACAATCGGGCCAAAACAACCCTTTTCTAGAAAGGCCAAATTAAACCCCCAAAAAAAAAAAAAAGGGTATTTCAATCACCGAAACGGCTCTATTTTTGGGGCTGAAACAGATCTTTTCGATTTACAGCGATATTCTTAATAATCGAGCGCGAGGGCCGCACTGAGGAATATTGACCAGGATGTCGCGGCAGTAAGGAGAGAGCGCAGAGAGGTCCATGCAAAATCGAACGAAGGCCAATATTACCCAGTACGGTTCAAGTAAGCGAGGTTATATTAAGTAATTCATTATGTGAATTTGGGGCCAAAGTTATTTATTTTGAGCCAGCTTTCGTGAACAAAATGCACACCTTATGACCGTCTCCGTGGAAACAGTCCTTATGGCAAAATAAAGACCAGGTAAGAACCAATCCCAACGTTTGGATTTCCTACAGAGCTATCTTGCTATAAAACAAGTTGACTCGCAAAATGATATGGCTGAAGCGATGATACTTACTATTTGAATTGACAATAAATGTTATGATAACCTTGAATAACTATTCAACACCACGCTGCTCGACGAAATGACAGAATTTTGGTTAACTAAAATTTCAAGTCAACGAAATTTGTTGCCATTACGTTTCCTCAGAGCTGCATTAAATATGAACAAATACAGTCGAACCGCGATTATCCGGACTCGTTGGGACTAGACGAAATAGTCCGAATAATCGAGAATATGAATATTAATGAGGAACAAAAACGGATCAAATAAAGAAAGCGACATTTAATCGTGAAACAAAACATTTACAAATCGGTTTGAAAAAAATATGGCTATATCTTTACTGTCTTTACTATCCGTTGTGAATACCTCTACATGTGAATCGTGTAGAGGTCTTCTGCATTAATTGCGGATATCAGATATCTGCTGCGTACTAACGCTATATTCAGCAGACAAATTTGTTCCTTTTTTCTCCATTCTCTAAACGCAAAATTGTAGAAAGAACGGATCGCTTACGCCGAAAGGATATGTTGATCGTGATAAAACATTCGTGACGCTGTGTAGCTTATCTTGCGTACCACGCCGAACGAGCCAATAGAGCGTGAAATCTCACTTAACAACAAAGCAACTGTAAGCCAATCAGACCTCATTCGAATGTTCTTCGTTAGTTACGAAGCGTGCGAGCCCGGTTTTTAGTGTTTTGAAAGCGAAACAAAGACGACTTTACTTCACTTTTCAACGCTGCAGTTTTAAACGAATATGGCTACGGATCTTGATCATGACTGATGGATATTCATGACAAAATTGGGACCAGAAAAAAAGTCCGGATAGTGGAGAAATCCGGATAATCGAGGTTGGACTGTACCGAAGAACAGTCCTTATGGTTAAATACAGACCAAGTAAAAACCAATTACAACGTTGGATTTACCTCCACAACAAGTTGATTCGCAACATGATAAAGCTGAAGCGATGATACTTAGTTGACAGTAAATGATATGATAACCGTGAAAAACTATTTAAATCTACACTGCTGGACGAAATGACAAAGTTTTGGTCAACTGAGATTTTTTGTCAACTAAATTTGTTGCCATCACGTTTCCGCTAAGCTGCATAAAATATGAACAACTACTAATATGCTCTAAAATCCTCTCAGAAAAAGAGACCAGAACTACGAAAACTATGACAAGCTACATTTATCAAAATAACTTGAAACCCTAAGAGCGAAAGCAAGTGTTATCAACACAAATCACCTCACTTTATGATGAGAACGAAAAAACGATTATATGACTGTACTAAAACAAAAGTTTTGATGTCAACCTCACAAATTCATAATCTTTCAACATAGAGAGACAAAGTAGATAGATAAAATTCATAGCGTAAGTCAGTGATCATTCATTTGATTTTTCAAGATTGTTAGAATCGAAACACAACTGATAAATCAATTCCCACAGCCTGAAGTTCTGTCGCCTACCGTTCAAATCATCCATGCATTGTGTACATTAAAAAAATGGGACTAAGTGGTTGTAAGCCATGAAATCAGCGAAAATCGTGCTCTTGCATGTCCATCTAAGACAAAGTTATCACTCAGGAGTTGAGTAAAATCGCCACTTTGCTTCAGTGCAAATCTCATTGAACGAGTGATGCTTGGAGCTCCCGCTTAGACTAAAAATTGCTTTCTCTTAACGAAACGCATACCAAAGCGGGCATATCTAAAAGGATCTTTTGAGATTCGTTCAATCGAAGCACGGATGAAGCTGCATGGAAAATCGATCTGATCCTTTATTCTAAAGAAGATTTTAGTCTCTTTTGCTTTAAAATTCAGCATAACTTTACCGAACAGTTTTAGCCATCTGTTATCTTCAAGACGTCTTAAATCATTCTCGTGTCGTGTAAAATTAAAACAAATGGTTGAGTGGTTTTTAATCAACGCCTTTCGCTCTTGCATGTTCATCGATGATAACGTCAGTCAGCTGAAATTTATAAAAGCCCGCTTTGTCTCTGTGCAAATCACACCAGAGGAATAATGCATAGCGCTTTCGTTTTCCGTAACGTCTACAGTCAAAATATGACTTTCTCTACTCACCTTCACTTTCTCTTGAGAATGAAAATGTCTGCACTTGACTCTGTGGAGAAGACCGTGAGGACACACGATATTAATGCGTATGTAGTTGGTAAATTGACGGAACTACTCGTAAAGTTAACACTTCTCAGACAGGTTCAGACTTGCAAATGACTGCAAATAGTTTATCAGATTCCTTAATCATGCATGCATAGCTAATCTCTGACGTAGATTCATAGCGGTTCTATGTTACTTTCTCCAATGGAATAAAGTTGTTAATTTGTAAATATAGCTTAATTTCTCGTTTGTTTCGCATCATAATGATTCTTTTGCATTCAGGGAATGTAGTTCCGCTAATAGTCAACATGAATGGTTTAAGGTGTAGGTAACGCTTCATAAATAATTTTTAGTGTATTAGCTAAGGGAGAGAAGCATAACAAAGAGGCCTGGGGAGGCTTTTAATCTGATCACTCTGTACTTGCATATGTACGATAAACTATGCTTTTTCCTTGATGACCCTGTAAAGATATTTGTGCCTCGCCGTAAAAGCTGACCAGGGGGAGAGGAGGAAGCGAGCGAGAGTGGTCGGCGCCCTATCTCCCGCGTCCGCCGTTTCTTTTTGCTTTTCTTATAGTATTTGGCTTAGTTTATTTGCTCTTAATGTTTTCATAACCAATCGCTTCTCGTGTGGTACGATGAAGACGGAGTTTTATTTTCCGCCAGAATTTTATTCTATTTTCAAAGCTTATCCTATTCCAGAAAATTCATACGTAAGTCAGAGATAATTCATTTGATCTTTTAAGATTCCTAGAATCGAAGCGCAACTAACAAATCAATTCCCACAGCCTGAATTTCAATCGCCTACCGTTCAAATCATCCAGGTGTTGTGTACATTTAAAAAAATGGGACTACGTTAATGGTTGTAAGCCATAAAAACAGCGAAATAGCGCTCTACGACAAAGTTATCTGTCAGGAACTGAGTAACATCGCCGCTGTGCTTCAGTGCAAATCACATCTACCGAGTAATGCTTGGGGCTCCCGCCTAGACTGAAAATTGCTTTCTCCTAACGAAACATATACTAAAAAGGACATATTTTGACTAAAATAACAGGATCAGTATCTTTAAATTACAAATACTTGTCACGTAAACTCAGTCAGAAGGGAATTGATCGAGTAGATGAACTATCGAGAAGAACTGAAGACAAAGTCATACGGCCATGTCCGTAGCGTAATTAATTCTCACAGTATTTAATATTGTTAACATCTTTCCTGCTTATGTCGTATAAAATTTAATCAAATGGATTGAGTGGTTTTTAATCAACGGTTTCCTCTCTTGAATGTTTATCTGTGATGAAGTTAGTCATCTCAAATTGATTAAAAGCCGCTTTGACTCTGTTCAAATCACACCGGAGAGATAATTCTTGGCGCTTTCGTTTTCATTAACGTTTACAGTCAAAATATATGACTTTCTCTGACTACTCACCTTCACTTTCTCTTTACAATGGAAATCTCTGTATTTAACTCTGAGAACAAGACCGTGAGGACACACGATATTACTTCGTAATTGGTTCGTGAGTCGACTGGACTACTCGAAAGGTTAACACTTCTCAGACAGTTTCGTTTCAGACTTGCAATTGTCTGTGAATAGTTTATCAGTTCCTTAATTATGCAAGCATAGCTAAGGTCACTCTGACGTAGATTCATGGCGATTTCAGGTTACTTTCTCCAGTGGATTGAAGTTGTAAATTTATAAATATATTTTAATTTCCTATTCATTTCGTATTATAATGATTCTTTTGCATTCAGGGAATGGAGTTCCGTTTCATAGTCAACATGAATGAGTTGAGGTGGAGGTAACGCTTCATAAATAATTTTTTGTGTAATAGCTAGGGGGAGAGTATGGCAACGAGGTTTGGTTTTGTTTATTTACTTTTCATGTTTTCTTAACCTATCGCTTCTCGTGTGGTACTATGAAAACAGAGTTTTATGTTCAGCCAGAATTTTTTTCTATTTTCAGAGATTATCCTATTCAAGTCAATCATTCTTAGGTTTAGTAGGCAACCGGTCATTGTTTATCACCAGGTAGGTTTCCTTACTTTGGATTCGCTTTGTAGTAGATAGGCATAGGTTATAAGCATTATAACCTATAACGATCATTAGCATTGTAACCTTCTATAATGATCGCGTCAATTTTTTTTACGGTGAAGAAGTCCTCGGAAGGCAGAGAGCTCCCTAATGTAAACACGTAGTGTCCACTCAGCATGGGTTTGTGTTGTATACTAAAGAGCTATTATTGTTTTGACTACATCATTATAGGGAGGTAATTGAGTAAAATCGCAATTATAGTACGAGCAATCTCATTAGCATTATCATCAGTGTTAATTGAAGGCAGGGATTTTTCAGGGGAGTTATAATTTGTAAAAAGCTTCTTGATAGATTAATATACACGATTTAAAATGCAACGAAAATAAAAACAACGTATGACAAAGAAAACTAAACATGAGATTCCAGCTGATCATCCATCTGGCATAAAGCCTTAAAAATCTAATGGGGAAAACTTGTGTATAAATGCCATTACCTTTGAAAGAGTAACTCATTATTAAAGCCAACAACTGTTGATCTTTTTGTCCTTATTTCAAAAAACGTATTCGCATCAGTAACTACTGAAAAGTCATTCGTTGACAGCATATTTCGCTCGCCAGATCCTTACGGGTTACCAAGTCATGACATAGGGCGTCATGTAAGACAAGATAGTTTACTTTTTCACCCTCTCTTCTTTTCCAGTGAAGCAACATTTGACATGGCTTTTCGGTGAATTCCTTATGGTTTTCGTCAAAAGCGTCCAGTTCTGGTTCCTTAAACTTTAAACGTCTTCCAAGTGGCTTCCAGTCCACACCGATGTTTCTCGAAATTGTCTCTAATTCTTCGTCACTGGGCTTGCCATTCTTGACTGAATATTGAAAAAGTAAAGTTAATGTTTGTAAGATATTCTTAATAAAGTAATTCTTGTTCTACGTAATAGATGAATGATTGGTTAGCGTCAATCATCCTGTCATGGAGTTATTCCTAGATCTCTTTAGAGGAATACAATACATCACTTCGGACTTATTATTTCAAAGCTGTTATGATTCTCTCCAATTGATAACCTTTGGCTGGACATTCCAGCTTTTTGGTCCGGCCAAATACCACCAAACATATAAGAACTATTCTGTTTTACCGATCTGTTTATGTTTTGCTCGAGAAAGACAAAACTTACACAGTGAAAAAAGAAGCAAAGCAGTTGCGACGTTTTGTAGTAGTTCTCCCTCAAGTTTTATGGCAAACAACGCACAGGTGGGGGTACGGTCGGACAGACAGACAGGCGGAAGGACAGACAGACAGATGGGCAAACGGTCATACGGAAGATTGCACAGACAAACAAGATCATAGACAAAGGCTGGCAAGCAACCACGCAGATATCCAGAGCGGGATTGGGAAGTAGGAAAAATAACATGGAAGCAGGAAAGCAGACAAAAAGACAGTCGTTTAAGAAGATAGACAAATAACAGATTGAAAAGTCCATATCGGCAAAAGTGTACCTTTGTTGTCCATGGCAGTGAAGACCTCTGAACGCTCTATACCCGGGCTCCCTGCTGATGCAGGTACACTTGCGCAGAGGTCACTTGATTCTAAACAAAATAATTCAAGAATTTAGATAGCAAAAACTCAAGCCTCCTTCTTTCCAACAGGAAAATATTTTAATTTACGTAGACTAGACTGGCCCTGTATTGATGAACCATCGGTATTTTCAGTTCACAGGGAAGTAACTTGGGTTTTGATTTAAGAATTTTAAAAAGCCTAATGTGTTGACATATTTTTAAAATTGACTCAATGCATAAGATTTATAACTTGCTATACAGAACTTAGATTGAAATTAACAATTAGTCACAATTAACGTTCTCTTAATATTCATGCAATCTCAGTTACTTTGCCATTATACCATCCCATGCTCAGTGGTTCTCGGCAACTTCAATAATTTTACGTCCACCTGCACAGCCGGCTCCTTTGTGGGAGTTTTCAAAGAGAACGAGGAGAGGGGATTAAGGAAAGATAATGGATGGTCTGAAATAAGGCAAACCAAGATAATCTTAAAATAAATAAAGGGGGCAAGTTTCTAGAGAAACTGTGGAACTCTAGAGCTCTAGAACAAAAATATTTATCTTTTAATCGTAACTCTTAATCCTCACAATATCAACGTCAACTTCAGAAACTCTTTAAGGTTGCCAATTTACAATATAAATTCAGTTAATAAACCAAAATATCTTGCAAGATGATCATAATATTTGAGGTTGATTATGGTCACACAATTTATAAATCTATGAGGATTTGAGAACCAATTATTTGGTTTCAAGAAAAAGAGAGTGACGTCACCTTTGTAATGTGGCTAGCTTTGGAAAACAACGGAACCATACAACATATTTTCCACAACTGAGGCTGCCATCACACTTGCAAAGGTCTTCCATTCATCGGTAATTCCTCCAGTGCATAGCCTGATATTCCTCTAACGACAACCCATTCAATAAATGGGTTAGATTAACTCTCTAACCACTCCTGGTTGTCAAACTAATTCCTTGTCATTCTACGTTCTAAAATATCATAAACGATTACAAACCTGGCACTGTTCTCTCACCTGACATGGATTTCTTAGCCAGTTGTGAAGCATAGTAGAGTGGAACATCGTGAAGCTCAGGATGATTTTGTCAATATTAATCTGCAGTAATCCATTTACAAAATAGGGTAATTTAGTATTCTCAACAGAGTTGATAACATAAATTTGCCTCCGTAAAGTCTTTCAAAGCTGACGTTTCGAGCTTTAACCCTTTGTCAGAGCGAAGTGTTTACCCTCTGTCATTCGCTCTGACGTCGGCTACGAAACTCTTTACGATGGCCAATTGTCCATGCTCTTTTCCAGATCTCACTTAGTGTACAGAATGTCCTCTGTTGCAATGTTACTAAAATAATGAACAGTAATGAAAATTACGAGTGACAAATTGATCTTCCCAGGTGCACTGCAATCGTAGTCATAGCAATACATTGAGTCTGAGAATTTGAAGGCTTCAATGAGGTTTCAACATCTATTCCCAGATAGTAGGTAGGCACTACACTGTACTACTAAGCCACGAAGCCACTTGTTGCATGCCAGCAAATAACTTCTAAGGATAATTTCTTTAGTGATTTCTAGGTGCTTCAAACAGAGGGGAAATCTTTGATGGGTTTTTGGTAAACTAGGCCAGAGGTATCACACTTAAAGGACAAGTACATCCAGGAACAGGAAAGTGAATGAAACTACTTTGTCTGTATAGCTTGTGGAAACGATGATATTTTTATTACTTCGACGGAGTTACAAATACAGCTCATAAAAAAGCCATAGGGCAGGAGTGGAAGTCAAAGAGATTTATGAAGAGCTTACTGGGACTGGTCGATGTAGAGGAGGATGATGTATTTAAAGAGTGTCTTCAAAAGGTGAATGCTCACTTTCGTGCCACACACAACAGGCTGACACAGGCAGAAACGGCTGACACGTTCATAGTTGTTTAAGTAAACAAACCTGTCATTGCACCTTTGGTGAAAAAAAAACAGTTATGACTGGCTAAAATATCTGAAGAACGCTAGTAGTACTACATGAACTTGGAATAGCAATTGGTGATGTTCTAGTTAATATATGAAGAAGAATCTCTATCCCAAGGCCCCCTTTGCTTCAAATGTAGAATGATACACACCTAACCTTGACATAATGAATCTGAAAGAAGCCACCTAAAAAGAAAAGGAAAGAGAAAAACTCAAACTGCTTTCTAGAAGAATTTTGTCCAAGAATTCTGAAAGAAAAATTTAAACAGTAAAATAATCTGCTATGGAAAACAAATCTATAATCAGGTGTTGGGTATTGTTGCATTGTAAATAATGTTAGTAGTGCAGGATAATGGACAAATGAAGCAATAACAAAAATATATGAAAATAATTTATTAAATATATAAATTTAAAAATAATTATAAATAAATAAAAAAGGGTAAACAATATATGAAAAAAATAATCATTAATAAATAGTTATGTGGCAGACTGGTGCCTCTTCTGTTTGAGAGCTAGACTCTGGAGGTTACATGACTCGTATATTCACTAAAATGGAGGGGAATAGTTAACAATCATTCCATGAATGTGCAAATGGATATGAGATGGTCAATAACCAACCAGGCTATGTTTGGAGCCTTTTTTCAGCTCCACAACAGATGGGGCCATGCCCTTCCACATAAGGTGACTAAGAGGAAGAGCTGATAACTGGAGCTGAGTGTTTGGAGTTGAAAACTTAATAATGGTGGATATTTACCAAGCTGCAAAATGGCTTGGTAAGTATCCACCACTTTCACCAACACTGAGGTCAATAATTGTTTTAGTATATACTGCATAGAGGCCAAAAGTTCTAGCTTTAACCTTAAAAGTTCATTTCTGTCCATATAATGAAAAAAAAAGGATTGCAAATTAAACTCTTGAGATATGATATTGTCTCTTTGGTGGCTTGGAGGCATAACATTCTTGCTAATCACCTGCACACCAGCCACTCGTGTGGTATATCCTAATATGCAATATGCATCTGTGATATCTAAATCATGCATTGTACTTGTATATTGCTTTGGTTGCATGTGTCACAAACACCCTTCCCTTGAATGTTGTCTAAAAGGCAAAGAAAAAATTATTTAAGGATTAAACACCATTCAAATAACATAAATTATGAATAAAAAAGCCACTTTAATTGAAGAGTCCTAACCCTTTAATCCCTAAGAGTGACTTGCATCTGATTTCTCCTTACAGTATCACTGATGAACCACATGCTAAGTTCACAAGATTAGAAGAAATCATCAGCATCCAGAGGTGCCCTTAGCTGTTAAACCAATTCTCCTTGTTGGTTCCTTTGAAAATGTATATAGCAGTGAGAAGATTATACATACTGATATCAGAGTATTAAGGGTAAACAGATTTCAGAGATAAGTGCTGAAGAAAAATTGTGTAAAAGAGCATCGAACATTGTGCTGGAGTTCAAACAAGACCAAGAATAACATATATTTACTGAACTTTAAAACTAAGTTTTTTCCACACATCACAATGTATCAGGGCATTATGGTGGTTGCTTACCTTTTCCAAAAACCAAGGAAGTGATCCACAATGATCTAGATGAAAGCTGAAAATGGATAACGACAAACTTTCTTGCACACAGGTTCAAAACTAATCTGAAAACGTTAAGACAGTACATTAAATGAAAAACACCATACAATACTTCCAATTAAACCCCTAGCCTCAGCTTTTCACAGGTCCACTTTTACACGTACCAGTAATTATGAACAAAAACATTATTCTGATTTGCAAGTATTTCCCCCCCCCCCCACCCCTGTTTACAGACAATACTGGTTAGTTCTAACCCTTCTAGCCCTTCCCTTAAGCTTGCACCCCTTCTTTACTCCTCAAATAAAGGAGGTTGATGTGTAACTGTCTCATCAAATACCATTGGTAGGAAGTGGATTTATCTTTTAAAGTACATACAAAGTTACTTTTCATATATTTTCTGATGTCATCAAGTGCTAGTAGGTTCTATTATCAGCTTGTATTAAATAATTTAGAAGTATCTCTAGATACAATGTACATGAATACTTTCACATGTAGTTTCCCTCCCCCACCCACCAACACCCCCAAATAAAAACCCTGTCCCCTGGCAGTTCTAAGGTTGTATAACACCATCCACTGGATAAATCTCTATCCTGCAGATACAAAAGTACTTTTCACCACTGGATAGCATTTTATCTGTTTATAGACAGCCTTTTCTTCCCTCTATGTACCACTGGGCACTGTACAATAATTCATAGGATCAAGTTTGATGACTGGGATTTAATTGTGGGGATCAAGTATTCCTCAGTCTTTTAATCAGGTGGCTGAGTAAGGATTTGTTGGTGGTCAACTAGTGTATAAGTAAATAAGGATGGGTAAACTTCCACTATGACAAATAAGGTTTTTTTAATAACCACTTACTGACTAATAAGGAGAAGATAAATTCCTGCTGTATCAATTTCATCAAGAAAAGGTAGAGACTCCATTCCTGACATTCCAGGATGAATTCCACAATTCAGCTGAAAGTGGGAAATGTTACAGAGTTAAAAAGAGCAAGTGATTGGTGCAGTGGTATAAAATCTGTTGTTGCATTTCTTTTTTCGTTGAACTTGTTGTGCCTGAATAACCCTCTACATCCACAAAAGAAAGCATCATTAACCCTAGGGACTTAACATGATTTGAAATTAAAATTTGACATACACCAGGAGTAGGGAGCTCTTACACAACAAGAGGTGACAAGAACTGAAAAAATAATCAACAACGCAATGCTTTCTGATGCAACACTGCATTGATAGGAAGTCAAGACAGGGCAGTCAGCAATTAAGCAAAGTGCTTCTCCCAACTGGAGCTTATCTCAACATTAAAAGACCAAGAATATTATTACTCCCCCCTCGATGGGATGTTAGTCCATTGCAAAGTAACACTCCTGCATTTCATCAGGCTTCCCTGACTATATGCCAATACCCAGTCCTACTCCTGGGCAGAACAAGGCACTGTAAGAGTGAAGTGTTTTGCCCATAAAACCCAACACAATGGCCCAGTCAGGTTTTGAACCCAAACCTCTTCACACAGGGTCCAGTTTATGAATAATTAGACTATTGGGTCTCCCACAGTCACGGCAAAAAATGTAAGATTTTGAATCTTGCCAGTGAAAGGGTTCAGTACCCTGTAATACTAACCATCACTTTCTTTCCTTTAAATTCTAGGATGTGACATGACCGGCCAACTTCTTGCCCGGCTCCCCTAAGTAAACATACCGGTAAAGAATTAAATTTCAGATCCATGCCTAAAATCTGAGAAGCGTCTCAGCAAATCATTATAATTACAATACTGATGTACGCAGAAATAATAGTTTGCACCATTAATCAACTGTTTATTTACAGCAGCAGGTCCACTGGGATATCTTATGGCTCTTGTGAAAAAGGCCCGCTACATTGCGAGGATGTGCGGTCAAATATATCGAAGACGTCTGAAGGTTACTTAAAAGTTTTTGTGGTTAGCACAAGTGCAGACGCACGTTCTAATGCAGTTTACAACAACCAAAAACAGATCGGTATCTATAAAACACAAATGCGTTGACTTATTTATATATTCACTTCGAGATTTTAGGTAAAAAACAACTTACAGTGATGTTATTCTGAGAAAATCACTTTTTTCTGGCGGTACAACAGATTCCGGTTTTCTCTTCGCTGCCGCCGCCATTTTGAAACAGATAGTAGCGTCCGCGATCAGCACAAACTTAATGTGGTGTAAAATTCACGCAATGTATCAAGATAACTTTTCCATTGGCCACCCCAGAGTTTTTAAAGCTTACATTTCCAGCATCCTCGAAACAAGGGAAATTTGCACTTTCATCTCAGTCGATAAACCACATTATCTTGTAACCCTCCCCCTCTACTCCTTTATATTTCGACATGATAATAGGCACGCACAGCGCGCTTACTGATGACTTAAAGGGGAACTAAGAGTTATAGACTGTTTATGATCTCTTGGAGAAACTTAACTGAAAAAGCGCGAGTTATTAATAATATTGTTAATACAAAAGATAGAAAAATTGCAATAATTGACCTTTTCATCTTTAAAGAAATTTTTGTTGTAAGACTTAAACATCAGGCCATCAAAGGGGAACACGATTGGTCGGTGATCTTCAAACCGTAGTCCTTCCACTTTCTTCTTCCTGAATCAATAACTCCTTTTCTTTCGAAAGCTATGTTACGTTACATGGTTGCTACAGCTGCAAGTTCAGCGGTCAATCGAACCCATATAAAAGAAACTATTTTTTTGTTTTCCAGTGGTTTTGGAGCACAAAGACTCAGTTTTGAGTTGTAGAAAAACGACCTCTACATGTATTTCACGCGCTCAACGAACTATGATATGATTTTAGCTGAGAAGAAACCGATTTTATAAAAGGGAAACCTCAAAGATAAGAAAGGCACAATGATGACGGGGAGAGCTGGTCGTAGTAGGGGCGAACTTGTTGAGGGCGAACTTGCAATGAGGCGAAACCTCTATAACCCATAAAAAAAATATATGAGAGCTCAGCATGAGGAATACATTTTATATCCTTGATCTTTATTTACAGCCTAGCTCCTACGGCTCCCAGCTCCTGAGACCGTTATATATTTTAAGCATATATCCACCACACCGGATACATGAAAAATCTAACTCACAAGAACAAGAAGTTACTACATATTCTATTCTTGCCACAAACGATTATCCCTTAAACTTAAATTGTGTCTAGCATCTTATTTCTACTTACAGTATCACTCATTAATTGAAAAATAAGTTTACAAGAACAAAGGAAATGATCAGCAACCAAAGCCAATTTTGATTTGTTAAACACGCAATTATCCTTGTCAGTTGCATAAAAAATGCAAAGAGAATAGTAAGGAGAATGTACATTTTAATGTCAGAATGTGAAGGATATATGAGGATGATTTTGGTTGGGAGTGTGCTTAGCGTGTTACGAACATTTGAATGAATTCCAACCGCCATGTTCCTTAACCTGTGGTTCTTAAGTGAAAAGTAAGAGTGACTATCTATTCTCTAAAGCTAATATTTTCCCTGTCTTCAAGAGCTAGGAAAATAAGCGGAGTTCACAAATGCAAGACGATACAGATCTTCTCTGGAGTACTCAGACATATCAAATTGTATATAAATTACTTAATCATAACCCTTACAATTTCTTAAATGGGATTAGTACATCAACTGCTTTATATTTCACTAATCACTGTGTACCGTTGTAATCGGACAGTGTAATCGGACAACTGTAATCGGTCAGTTAAAGCAGCCAATCATGATACTTCAGAGTGGGAATGTAATCAGCATTTTGTAAACATTTGATTGAGTTCCAACCTCTTGATGTTCTTTGGCCAGCGGTTCTTTAGTGAAAAATAGCAGTAAATATATATTCTCTAAAACTACGTTTTCCCTATCTTCAGTGACAAGGAAAATGAACCCCTAACTTAGTGCAAAAGTGCGTTGATGCTTTATGGAGTACTCAGACAGAAATACTAAGTGATATAGATGACTCAATCTTTTAGAGTAGATTATTAAGGACAGGCAATTTTTACAATCTCATTCGCAACAAAACTGTTCAGCAAGAAGTGTGCATTGGACCTTTTTGTCGCACAAGGCATCGCACAAAACTTTATAAGTGGCATTTGAGCCTTCCCTTTGTTTCCAAGCCATTAACATTTTAAAAGCCTTCTTTTTCAGCCCTCTATTATCTTCATCAAAGCCAGTTATTGCGGCTTGGTTAAATCTCAGGCGTCTTCCTAATTCCTCCCATTTTCCTCCAAGTTCCAGAGAGAGATCTTCTAACTCGTCAATTGATGGTCCGCCAGCCTTGACTGGAGCTGAGGATAAGTAACGGTCATAGAACTGAGTGGAGTCCAATTCGGTCTGTAATAATACGAGTGATGAACACAATCGGACGACCGCGCAGCGGGACACCAATTTGTTTATCACGAGTATGATTACAGACAGAATTGGACGACACGAAATCTTATTACCAATTACTCATAAAAAATTATGATTTCCGAGAAAAGAAGAATAGCCAAGTTATATAAGAAAGGGACAATTTGCGGTAAAAGACTGACACAAGAGGCGTGAATTGTTTAATGTCGCTCCGTTTCTATGGTGATTGAAAAAAGGGGTGTTTCAAGGCTCTGACAGATGGTGGACGAAAATGTGGCGAAAGGTGATTCACCTTTTTAATATCATTCGATACAAAACATTAGCCTTGAGGACTTTCAGGGTTTAAAGGGATTTGAAATAGGGGTGAAACGACTTTCCTTTCCCTCCCTCCATCCATCGCAAACCTCCCTCTCCCTCTCTCTCTCTCAATTTCCCCTTTCCTCTTCCTTCCTCCTTCTCTTTCTTCCTCCCTTCCTTCTCACTACCCGGCATCACTTGTATTTTATATTCTGGTTAAAGAAATGTGATCTTTAGCCATGATATTCGGTAATATGGGCTACAAACGCAAAGTATTCGACAAATCTTGAAACTAATTTTTTCCTTGCTACTTAACAAAACTCTTAAGCAGGCATTTTCTCACAGCATTGTACTTAAAAATTAAACATTATTACCTGCTGTCGCTTTTTTTCTTTTAGGGTCTCAACCGGAAGGAGAAGACGACCGTCGTCTCTTTCGAGGAGAACCATCTGCAGTATCCGAATTGTCTGTATAAAATGACAAGAAATCGTACCTACAGTTAAACATATTGCATTTCGTATTACACTGGATAATTAAGAGGCTCAAAAAGACCACTTTCAGTTACCCTCTTAATTAAAATAGATCAAAAGAGCACCAAAGCATGGGTTCATCTTCGGAGAAGAGTTAAACGGCATCTCTTATGCATAAAAACTAACCAAAACTGTCTTTGTACAAATAGGCTGGGTCTTGCACAGGCAGCCCAAGCATACTGTGAGTGTGATTTTGGGGGTTAATGGTGATTAACAGGAATACCTTATAAATTAAATGAAATTCAAGCGTGTACCGTAAAAAGAGAAAAATAATAAAAGAATATTAAAAAGTATTTAAAATGATAATAGAAGCTATAAAATAGTGTACAACATGCAGTACAAAGAAACTCGACTCAATTAATGATAAAAAATTACAATTTCTGAGGAAAGAAGAATAGGCAAGTTGAGAAAGAAAGGGACAATTTGCATTAAGAAACTGACAAAGAAGGCGTAAATTGTTTAATGTCGCTCTGTTTCTATGGTGATTGAAACCAAGGTTGTGCTTGGTTGATTAAAACTTCAACTTTGAATGTGATTGGTTGATTTGAACTGCAACTTTGAGCGTGATTGGCTTATTGAAATGTCCGATAACAAACTGTGCGATGACAACTTGGCAAGTGAAGATTTTTTTTAGACATAGACAATCGAGGGAATAATAATGGTAAAAGGGAAGGGAAAAATAAAAAGGGGTGCTTCAAAGCTCTGGCAAAAGGAGAAAAAATGCGGCGAAAGGTGATTCACCTTTTTAATATCGTTTGATACTAAAAAGTTGGCCTTGAGGAATGTAAGGATTTGGGAAGAAGGTATTTGGAATAGGAGAGAAACGACTTTCCTTGAAAAAATAAAACTGCTCGGAAAGCAAAAAATCATTAGGATAACTTCATAAATAAAGAAGCCATGAACTACGTCCTCTGACTACAAGTCTCTCCTCTCGATTTCAGTTACTTATATAATGAAACAAGAATTGTTTTTGCTGAATTGGATGCTTCTTTAAGGAAATGAATTAAAGGCGAAAATCAAACAAAGCGTTGACAGAGTTAATAGGCATTACTGTTGAGTTCAATTACTGAACCTGGGAATTTCCCTATAATTCTTCTTAGATTTATCATTTACGGAATTAACAAGATTTTTTTGGTACAATACCTTGAGTAGCACGCGGTTCACTACCACTGGATCGTGTGGATCGCCGTCCTCTTCGAGTTGAAGGTTCCTGCGGTGCACCTTGTACAAAAGAATCTCCTGAAAGACGAGAATGGATTATATTAACTCTCTAACCACCTTCATTGTTCCTTCTTTTCTTCCTCCCCTCCCCCTTTCCTTGCTACTTCTCTCCCTACGATTCCTCTGCCCTTCTTTCTGTCCTCCTCCACTCCTTCTTATTTTCTTCCCTCCTTCCATTCATCCCTTTGTCCTTGTCTCCAATCTTCCTCCACCCTCCCAACCTTCCTCCTTCTCTTACTCTCTCCCTTCATCCATCTCATACCTCCCTCTCCTCCTTTCAATTTCTCGTTTTTCTCTTACTCCTCTCCTCTCTCTCTTCGTCCTTCTCTTTCCTCCTCCTCCCCTCTCGCTACCCGGCATCATTTGCAATTTATACTCTGGTTAAAGAATTGTGCTTTTTAGCCATGATAGTTGCTACTATGGGCCACCAACACAAAATATTTGGACAAATTTTGAAATTAATTTGTTCCACGCTACTTAACAAAACTCTTGAGCAGGCATTTTCTTACAACAGTGTACTTAAAAATTAAACATTATTACCTGCTGTCGCTTTGTTTCTTTTAGGGTCTGAACCGGAAGGAGAAGATGACGACCGTCTTCTCTTTCGAGGAGAACCATCTTCAGCATCCGAATTGTCTGTATAAAATGACAAGAAATCGTACCTACAGTTAAACATATTGCATTTCGTGAAACACAAGATAATTAAAAGGCTCAAAAAGGCCACTTTCAGTTATCCTCTTAACTAGAATAGATCAAAGGAGCACCAAAGTATGGGTTCATTGTCGGAGAAGAGTTAAACCGCATCTTTTATGCATAAAAACTGACAAAAACCGTCTCTGTACCAATAGGTTGGCTCCTGCACAGGCAGCCCAAGCGTACTGTGTGTGTGATTTTGGGGTTTAAAGGTGATTAACAGGAATATCTAATATCTATCAACCCAACTTCTCACAAAGCTACGACTATCAAGACATTGACAAGACGAGCGCAACTTGTTTGCAACACACCGGACAGTTTATCTGACGAAAACAAGTACCTTGACCGTGTTTTTGACAAAAACAACTACAACACTGACTTCATTAGACGAAACACTCATAGGGCGACCGACACAAAAAAAACTAACAGGGAATCCACATCTATCACGACTACAGCTTCTATACCCTACATCAAAGGCACTTCTGATGCTATCGCGCGGATCCTACAACCTTACAACATTGGCGTAGCTCACAGGCCTATTACTACTTTACGACATTTGCAGACCAAAGTTAAAGACAAAGACGAACCCAACAACAGACAGGGAGCGATTTATAAGATCGAATGCTCCGACTGCCAGGCCTCCTACATTGGTGAGACTGGTAGAAACCTTAACACGCTACTAACTGAACACAAACGAGCAACTAGAAATGGCGATGTAAACAATCACATTTCTGAACATCACCGACAAACTAATCACAGAATTGACTGGGACTCTGCTATATGCTTAACCTACAGTACAAACTATTTTCAGCGACTAACTCTGGAAAGCTGGTTGACTAACTTAGAACAGAAGCCTCTCAACAAATTTCAACAGTTACCAGCACCTTACAAACGACTCATTAACGACGTGAACAAACCGAAAAACAGACCGACAAACAACAGACGGATCGAAACCGACCAATGACTGTTAACAAACTCTACACGAGTCTTCCAGCCAATCACATCACGGCTAAACAGACCAATCACGTTCAGCAGACCAGAATTTATAACATCATCGACTGACAACTACTCTTCACTTGACTCTGAAGATGACTACCGCACAGATAGTCGAAACGTCAGTCACCAACAACAGTTCTTTTCAGAACTACACTCACCCGGACGATCACACTACACGAACTACTGATACTCCTGGTTTCAAACCATTTACTTTAATATCTAATAAATTAAATGAAACTCAAGCGTGTCCTATAAAAAAATGATAATGATAATAAACGTGCAAATGACAGTAGAAGCTATAAAATAGTGCACAACACGCAGTACTAAGAATTTCGACTAATAGCGTTAAAATGGCCGGAAGCGACAAAGCGGCCACGGAATAAAGGTAAGGAGACTTTTTGTATATTTTTAAATTTTTTTATCATCATTTTTTTTTTACGGCACACACTAACGCTTACAAAATCAATCTTAATTTATCAGGTATTCCTGTTAATGATATTTAAACCCCAAAATCACACATAGTGCGCTTGGGCTGTCTGTGGCTCCTGTTATTTATTGTGTAATTTTTCATATATCCATCAGTTAAATTAATTCTTTAATATTTATTCAATGAACCTTAGACCTCGCAAGCGGTGATTGTTAGGAATGATCTTAAAACTTTTTATTTCCTTTTATTCTGTTTGTTTTGATGTATACTGGTTTCTTTGCTCTCAGGACTGGCAGTGTCTAGTTCACGCCACTTAGGAGCAGCTCGTCATGAGAATCGGTTGCCACTGTAAATCACATCATGCAACTTTCGTCTGCGCGACATCGTTAAACAGCGTTTTTATACAGCAAATCCTAGTCATACTGACGATAACTTGCTTGTGGATTTTTTTTTTTTTTAATGTAGAGTTCCTTGATAAAAGTATCTACTTTTTCAACCAACTGCATAATTACCTTCGAAGTGAGGCCAGGACTCAAAAATACCAGAATCTTTTAGAATGTGTGCAACGAGAGAGGCCGCCATAACACTGGCAAATAGTCTCCAATGATCAGTTTCAGATTTTTTTCCATCGGCGAAGTTTGACACGCCCTTAATGACAATCCATTCAATGTTGAGATCATGGGCGGCTGCGTAAAGACCTTAAAGAAAAGCATTGGTTTATAAGAGATACTGAATAGACGCCGGGTTTTCACTTTGCCTTTTTAAATAAGTAAATGGATAAGTATATCAGTAAATATTAGCAAAGATATGATCCTTGCAGTTGTGCTACGATTAAAGAAATTACATATTATTTTAAATCAGTTAGAAAGAGACACTGGCAGACAGTTATCAGAGAGACTCATGGAAGGACAGATAGAAACAGCGAAATAGTTGTCATACAAGGTAATGGGGAGCATGCAAGGAAGAAATAAAGAGAGCGAAAAATGAGTAAAATATCAAACAGACAACAAACGAAAGGCATCAGAGTTGTAATCTTCGTTGTTCTAGCTTTAATTTGTTTTGATGTTTGTAATGTGGATTTTACTTCTCCTGCAACTTCCGTTCAACTGTATCCGATATTCCATCACTTGGACATAATTTATTTCGTTCGCAGGTGCCAAGCTCAATGAGAATCGATTCTTATGGTTATGAATGTAAGTTGGGCTAAAATTTTAGTGTAACTTGCCACTTTTTATTGATTTTGAGGACAAGGCAGTCAAAAATACTTCTTACAGTGATTATCCATCAACATTCCAGAAAAAAATTGATTTACAAAATAAAAATGAAATGGTGGTGAAACTTAACTTGATTCAGCAGCTGTATGTATCCTGGCATGTGTAACAGATAGAAAAAGAGACCAACAGACATTAAAGACAGAAAGACAGAAAGAAAGACGGACGGCCAAACAGGACCCCGTACAGATATAAATAGTCTGAAATACGTACTTTTACTTTTCATTTATTACCTTCCCCTTCCATCTCAATTGCTGTTGCTTCTGGAAATCGTTTCATCAGTGCAGCAAGTCGTTTTGGGTCGTTAATCACCTCAGGCCCACTCAGAAATACGCCATTCGTGCTTGGTTTCACCTTCAGATCGGTTGAGTTCTTCACGGGTGGTTTCCATCCATCTCCAATGTGTCTGGCAATACCTGATAGACCCTTATTTAAAGGAACTCTGACACCTTGCTCCTCGATCCTATAATCCTCTTGTTTTATGAAGGCGTAGGTTATTAACTTTGAGCACACGACCACATCACCTAGCTTTGCTTTCTCCTTGTTCAAACTAGCACAGAAACCCACATTAAACACAGCTTTGGGCTTCAAGATGCGGACCGCTTTCGGGACAACAACCAGGGAACCACCGGGAGCGGCACCACCCATATTGCATTTCATCACTGCAACCTTCACTTTCTCGTTGTCAAGGATACTTCCAAAGTATACAAAGCCAAGGGTTTTGCGATAACTTTTCACAAAATCTTCTTTGAGAAAGGAAAGACAGCTTCGGAATTCGCAGTCATTTACCGTCAGCAAAAGAAAATGGACCGGCAGAGAGTTGTTTTGGACGTTTTTCCAAGGCTCTGAGTGCTGCGGGAGATTTTCAACCTCTGGCACTTTAACATCTACCTCTAGTGGTTTTCTTTTGCTTGTTGCTTGACTCGTGCTTTCAGTGATGGTAGCGTCCGCCATGTTCAACAGGTTCCTGGGAATAATTATGTGATCAATAATATGGTTATGATATTCAGTACTCAGAGTCAATGCTGATCAGCCTTTGGCTGTCTGATTCTAAAATATCTTAGAAATACAGTCACCTATTTGGTTTATGTAGCATAAAATCGATTGTGATAAAATGATATGCCAAATTATTTGGAAAATGTTTAGATATTATTATTGACATGAGTTAACTAGCTAGCTGGACAGGAACTTAGTGATGGATAACTAATCAAAGAAAATAATGACTGTAAGATATATGAAAATCATATATGTGCACTGCGGTGAAAAAACGAATATAAGAGATCCTCGCAGCTATGAACACTACTGAACTAGTAGCTGAAATAAGACCTGAGAAAAAAAAAAATTAAATAATTAAAGCAAAGTCAATATGAGTTAAAGGAGGTGTTTTTTTTTCCAGTGTTTCTACAACTGAAGTAATGTTTAGAGAGGAAATTCTCTGAAGTTTTGAAGAGAATTATCCTGCTATTCCGGTAAAGGCTCAATCAAACCGGAAGAGCAAATTAGCACTTCAGTGGTATATTATTGTTACTGGATATTAACCGATAGTTCTACCCTTCAACATGGCGGGCTATATTGTAACATGTCGCTCAAGGAATCTGTTGAGTTTTCAAAGAAGCGATATGAAGCTTTGATCTAGACATATACTTGTCTCAGGTTACTTCGCCAGGATACTTGATATCTATAAGGATCGTAAAACTATCCTGCTTTAGTTAATATGACAACGTTAATAAACACCTTGCTAAAGCTTCATCGTCGCATGTAAGTGATCATGAATTGTGGGACAGTTAGGAACAACAGTGACAATGCGAGGTAGTGTTCAATCGATCTCAGAGCTATGTTTCACCGGTCATTTAAGCTCCTGTTTCATTACATTTCGATAAGGCTCCAGAAATAACAAGAGGATTCCAGCTGAAAAAAGGACATATATCAATGCAAGAGACATTTAATGGGAATGGTGTCCAATAACTTCACAAATTGGGAGAAGCATTTCTATTCATGGTCAGTTAGCCCTAACTGGGCCATCTCAGCCATTTTCATGGACCGTTTTCGATCTTGCGTTAGGTAGAATTCTGTGCCTGAGGGATTGCCATGATGAATGGTCCTCTCACAAAACAAACTCGGCTAGAAATTACAAAGGCGAATTGTAACGTAAGGTTGTCTAAGAAAAGTGAAGAAAAGTGAACAAAAGGTTGTGAGCCTCTCATTGTGAATATGAAAGCGATCTTCGCAGTAATGAACACTGCTTGGGCAGTAGTGAAAATAAGGCCTGAAAAAAATTCAGACGTGTACGGGATTTGAGCCCATGACCTCTGCGATACCAGAGCAGTGCTTGCTCAAGTGGTGTTCATTACTACGAAGATCGCTCATATTCACGTCTTTATCCGCAGTTCAAGTATATGACTTTCATATATTCACAGACGTTTAAGCCTCTCATTGGTCGTAACCATTTGCTTCACCATGCCTTTTGTTCAGCTGCAGTATGAAGCAACATTTTCTCATGATCAGTTAGAGCTGCTTCCTATTCTGTCAGCGAGATTACTCTGCCAGGATTTAAGAAAAAAAAGCTCAGTTCATTCATAACTAGAACCGACCATTTAAACATAGAGAAGTCCACCGAATGGTTCACCATAGAGGCCGTTAAAACATGGATTTCCATCGAAAACTATTGGGAGAATATCAAGTAAGTATTTGAGAAGTATTATTTGTACTTAACTCGACATGCTTTTGTTTAAAAAAAAAAAGCCTGCATGGTTACCAACACTGGTTAGTCCCAGATATCTTTGAGAGCTCATTCTCTCAGCTAGCACGCATGTCAGAGAGTGTCAGAGGTTTTAACGAACGAAGGGACGGAGAGTTTTACACAGCTACTTATTGTAGCGATTTAACTTTTTTGCAAACAAGAGTCAAGTTGCGGACATCCGATTCCCTCGTGATCATAATTTACGTGGCTTGCTTCGTTACGGGGACTATCCACTCGGCCTCATCCTAGGCAAGTATGCATAAGTAATCCGATACTCATACTTTTATGTGATCGAGGTATATGTCAGTTTGGAGAAAAGTATTTTCCTGAGAGATTCGTACCTTTAAACACTGATTGATTCTTTCATTGATTGATTGATTGATTGATTTTCAAATGATCAATTTCTTCTTTCCTCTGCTCCACGCTACTGTGATCAGAGTATATGCCAGTAAGGAGTACGGCTTTAGCTAAAAAATCTTAACTTTAAAGCATTGATTGAGCATTTTACAGCACATTTAGATGCAGTGTTTCTAGTGATTAATTTTTCCCTTGCCCTACACCACTGTGGTGAAGGAATGAGACACTAAGGAGTTAAGCTTTCAGCTGAGCAATCTATACTGTTAGGCATTAACTGATCATTTTACAGTGTACATACGACTGCATTTAAGGATTAATTTTCCCCTTGCTCTATACTTCTGTGATCAGGGTATATGTTAGTTAGGATTAAAGCTATTGGCTGAGGAATCTTCACTGTTACTCATTAATTGATTAATCCAAGTAAATTGTGGGAGCAGTAGTTCTTCTTATTATTTTTTCCCCTGCTCTACACTATTGTGATCAAGGTATTTACCAATTAGGAATGAAGATTTTTGGATGAGGAATCCTTGTTGTTTAGCACTGATTGATAATTTTACAGTACGTATAGGTGCAATGCTTCAAATGACTAATTTCTTCTCATGTTCTACACTACTGTGATCAAAGTAGATGGGTGTAAAGAATAAAATTCTTTGCGGAGGAATCCTTTCGGTTAGGCATTGATTGATTATTCTACACTATGTATAGGTGATTATTTTTCCCCTAGCTCTACACCACTGATATCAAGGTAATTGCCATTCAGGAGTGAAGACTTTTTTTGTTGACAAAATCCTTTCTGTCACGCAATGATTGAATATTTACAGTACATGTAGGTGCAGTGCATCTTATGATTATTTTTCTCTTTGTTCTGCACTAATGTGATCAAGTTATATGCCAGTAAGTAGTGAAGCCTCATTTTACTGATGAATCCTGGCTGTTATGCTCAGATTGATCGTTTACAGCACACGCATGTGCAATGCTTCTAATGATAAATTTTTCCATTACGTTACATTACATATGATCAAGGTATATGCCTGCCAGGGGTGAAGATTTTAGCTGAGGAATCCTTAACTTTAGGCATTGATTGATCGTTTTGAAGTACTGTAGGTTCACTACTTTAAATGCTTCACTTTTTTTCTCTCGCTTTACACTACTGTGGTCAAGGTAGGTGCCAGTTAGAAGAGAAGATGTTTGCTTAGGAATCCCTACTGTTATAGGTATAGTCGCTTCGCTCACTCATTACACTCGAAGATAAAATTCGTATCACCGCGTGGCCATGTAATATGCTCTACCTCTGCTCTACACTCTTGTGATCAACGTATATGCCGGTTAGGAGTGAAGCTTTTAGCTGAGGAATCCTTGCTGTAAGGCATTGATCAATCACTGTACATTAAGGTGCAGTGCATCTTATGATTATTTGTTTCCTTTGCTCTGCACTTAATTGTGATCAAGGGATAAGTCAGTTAGTAGTGAAGCTTTTTTTCACTCATGGATTGTTACTGTTAGGCTCAGATTGATCATTTTACAGTACATGGATGTGCAATGCTTAATAAAAAATTTTTTTCTCTATAAAAAAATATACCACCTCCAAGCTAAGCTTTTAGCTGAGGAATCCTAACTGGTAGGCATTGATTGGTCATTTTACTGGAAATTATGTGCATTGCCTTTAATGATTACCTTTTTCCATTGCTCAATACTACCATAATCAAGGTAATTTCCAATTAGGAGGGAAGCTTTTTGTTGAGGAATCCCATGTGTTAGGCATTGATTAATCATTAACAGTGCATGTTGGTGCAGTGCATCTACTGATTAGTCTTTTCTTGCTATACACTTCTGTGTTCAAGGGATTTACCAGTTGGGAATGAAGCTTTTTGCTGATGAATCCTTACTGTAAAGCACTGATTAAATATTTAAATTACATGTAGGTACTATGCTTTCATTTGTTAATTTTTCTCTTTTGCTCTACAGTTCTGTGATCAAGGTATATGCCAGGGAGTGAAGCTTTTTGAGCTGAGGAATCCTTTTCTTAGGCATTGATTGATTATTTAACAGTAAATGTAGGTGCAATTTTTTTAATGATTAACTTTTCCCCTTGCTCTACACTACTGTGATCAAGATGTATGCGAGTTAGGATTGAAGCCTTTTTTAGCTAAGGAATCCTTTCTGTATTGATTGATTATTTAACAGTACATGTAGGTGCAATTTTTTTAATGATTAACTTTTCCCCTAGCTCTACACTACTGTGATCAAGATGTATGCCAGTTAGGATTGAAGCCTTTTTTAGCTGAGGAATCCTTTCTGTCAGACATTGATTGATTATTTAATAGTAAATGTAGGTGCAATTCTTTTAATGATTAACTTTTCCCCTTGCTCTACACTACTGTGATCAAGATGTATGCCGGTTACGATTGAAGCCTTTTTTAGCTGATGAATCCTTTCTGTATTGATTGATTATTTAACAGTACATGTAGGTGCAATTCTTTTAATGATTAACTTTTCCCCTAGCTCTACACTACTGTGATCAAGATGTATGCTAGTTAGGATTGAAGCCTTTTTTAGCTGAGGAATCCTTTCTGTATTGATTGATTATTTAACAGTACATGTAGGTGCAATTCTTTTAATGATTAACTTTTCCCCTAGCTCTACACTACTGTGATCAAGATGTATGCCAGTTAGGATTGAAGCTTTTTTAACCGAGGAATCCTTTCTTTTAGGCATTGGTTGATCATTTTACAGTTTTCGTAGGTGCAGGGCTTCTAATTGTTAACTTTTTACCGGATCTTTCAACTTTGGAGCGCTCTCACTAATTGGATTTAGGAAGTAACTCAAATTGAAGTTGAATTCTCCCTTGAATCTGTTTTTCTCGGGCCACACAATCTGTTTGCCTGTAAAAATGCAGCTGAACTGGATTTCACAGTGGTTATGTTTATGGAAGGACATAACCCCGATTTTACAGACGTACTACCTAAAGTTTCAATACAACATTGAAAAAATTGGCATGTGACTTTACTCATAGGGGAAAATTCTTACGTAAGTGGAAACTGAAGAAAAAACTATTATGTCAGTAAAGTATGTAACGTATGTAACGTAGAGATCTAAGTATAGCTTTATTATGTCTTACATGTAAGTGTATACTGTAAGCAATATTTTGGCGGGAAAAAAATAAGGTGATGCACGATACATGTATATTCCACGTCAAAGGAACAATACTATTTTTTTGTCATTTGGACAGCAACTATTGTACTTAATTTTGAAAAATTGTACTTATAATTTGTTCTGTAAACACCTAATGGATAAAAAAGGTGTGTATATATATGTATTTATTTAAAAAAAACGGGTGTATATATAGATATGTGTTTATTTGTTACATCAACTAAAATACAGCAACCCATTGTTTGTTTAAAGAAATAAATCAAATTGCAGGAAAATGAAAAAACAACTTTTGCAACTTTCTACAAACAAGCTCACTGCGGGATCAACAAAACATTTGTACATACTAAACAATCCTAAATAGAAATTTAATTTGTGATTTCAAAATGGATGTAATGAAGTGGTAATTGAACTTCATGTTGTGCAATTTTGGTCTGAAACCTCACGTGAGAACTCAACTCAAACTTGCGCTGCATACGAAGCCATTCAACTACATGGTACAGATATGAAATGGCTGAAGTGAGGCCTATTTACATCATATAACAACCACTTTAGTTTTTTTTTCAGAGGCTGTTTTACATAGTTCTTCAAAACAGCTCCTGTCATGAGCATCATTCCAGTCCTTATGATGCCCATTTAGCCATTTATCTAAATTAGCCACAAAATAGCAATCAATTTTCATTCTCTCTAAAGAAAGAATTGACTCCAAAAATGCAATCGGGCTAAAACAACCCTTTTCTAGAAGAGCCAAATTAGACCCAAAAATAGAACTGTATTTCAATCACCGAAACAGCCCTACTTTGGTAGCTAAAACAGAACTTCTCCAGTTACAGCATTATTCTTAATAATCGAGCACGAGGGCCGTACCGAGGATTATTGACCCGAAGTCGTGACAGTAAGGACAGAGCGCAGCGAGGTGCATACAAAATCGAACGAGTGCAAACTGAATATTACCCAGTACGGTTCAAGAAAGCAAGCATATAGTATGTAGTATATTATGTGGCACTCGGGCCAAACCTGTTTATTTTGAGCCAGCTTCGGTGAACAAAAATGAACGCCTTTTGACCGTCTCCGTGGAAACAGTTCTATGGCAAAATACAGACCAAGTAAGAACCAATCACAACGTTTGGATTTACCTCAGGGCTATCTTGCCACACAACAAGTTGAGTCGCAAAATGATAAAGTTGAAGCGATGATACTTAACTACTCACTTGACAGTAAATGTTATGATAACCTTGGATAACTATTCAAATCCACACTACTCGACGAAATGACAAAATTTTGGTCTACTGAAATTTCAAGTCAAATAAATATGTTGCCGTTATGTTTCCCCTAGGCTGCATGAAATATGAACAAATAATAATATGTCTTAAAATCCTTTCAGAAAAAGAGACCAGAACTACTACAATTATGAAAAGTTACATTTATAATAATAACTTGAAGCCCTAGGGGCAATGCAAGTGTTACCAAAACAAATCGCAAGATTAACTTATCTCATTTCTGTAGCGAGAACCGAAGAACGATTGTACGACTGTACGAAAACAAAAGTTTTGATGTCTACCTCACAAATTCATAACCTTTCAACAGAGAGAGACAGAGCAAATCGATAAACTTGCCTTCATGACTAAAACAGATATTCATAGGGTAAGCCAGAGATCATATATTTGATCTTTCAAGATTCTTAGAATCGAAGCACAACTAACAAATCAATTCTCACAGCCTGAATTTCTATAGCTTACCGTTCAAATCATCCCGGTGTTGTTTGCATTTAAAAAAGTGGGAAGAAGTGGTTGTAAGCCATGAACTCAGTGAAAAATTCGCGCTCTTGCATGTCCCTCCACGACAAAGTTATCACTCAGGATTGAGTAGAATCGCCGCTTTGCTTCAGTGCAAATCACATCGAGCGAGTAATGCTCTCGCCTAGACTAAAAATTACTTTCTCTTAGCGAAACACATATTGAAGCTGGCATATCTGAAAGGATCTTCTGAGATTCTTACAATCGAAGCACGGATAGCTGCATGGTAAATCGAACTGATCCTGTATTTTAAAGAAGCTTTTAGTCTCCTTTGCTTTAAAATTCATAATAACTTTACCGAACAGTTTTAGCCATTTGTTATCTTCAAGACATCTTAATGTATTTGTTTACGTCTGGACAAGTATCAGCTATCGCCGTTTTGACTATAGACTTGACTAAAATAAGCGGATCAGTATCTTTTAACTGCAATCATTATAAATACTCGTCACTTGAACTGGCTCGGAAGGGAATTGATCGAGTAGATGAACTATCAAGGAGTAATGAAAATAAGTGACAAAGACAAAGTCATACGGCCATATGCATGACTTAATTCTCACAGCGTCCAATGTTGTTTAGCTCATTCCTGTGTCGTGTAAAATTAAAACAAATGCATTGAGGAGTTTTTAATCTACGGCCTTCGCTCTTGGACGTTTATCTATGCTAAAGTTAGTCATCTGAAATTGATAATAACCCGCTTTGTCTTGGTTCAAATCATAGCGAAGGAATAATGCTTGGCGCTTCCGCTTTCGTCTACAGTCAAAATATACGACTTTCTTTACTCACCTTCACTTTCTCTTTAAAATGAAAATGTCTGTACTTGACTCTGTGAAAAAGACCGTGAAGACACACGATATTACTCCGTAGGTAGTTCGTGAATCGACGGCACCACTCAAAAAGTTAACACTTCTCAGACAGTTTCGTTTCAGATTTGCAAATGACAGAGAATAATTAATCAGATTCTTTAATCATGCAATCATAGCTAAGGTCATTCTAAAGGAGATTCATAGCGGTTTTATATTACTTTCTCCAATGGATTAAAGTTGTTAATTTGTAGATATATATTAATTTCCCGTTTGTTTCGTAACGTGATGGTTCTTTTGCATTCAGGGAATGGGGTTCTGTGGGCTTCATAAATAATTTTTAGTACAATGGCTAAGGGAAATATGCATGAAAAAGAGGCCGGAAGAAGCTTTTAATTTGAGCGCTCTCTTCTTGCATAGATACAACAAAGTATATTTTTCCTTGTTGATCCTGTCAAGATATTTATGCTTAGCTGTAAAGCTGACCGGTTTTTGAAGCCAGTCGGACAGGCTGCATTGTACTCTTAAGAAATGACGGTGCTCGTCACGAAGGAAAAGGGATTTAGAAAGTTTGAGCACTGAGAAAGTACGACTGCATTTGATATAACATTAGTAGGGCAGATATCACTTGAAAACGGTTGTTAAGTCTCATAATTCTTAAAAGAGGAGAAAAAATAAATTTGTAAAAATTTCCAAAAGACCGAGAGTGTTTCAAATTAACGAATGTCGAGACCGCCTTAATTTAATTAGATGTAACCTTACATAGGAATCCTCTCCTTGCCGAGAGGGAAGGAAGTTATGGCTGTGGCAATAAAAACATAGAAAGACCTGACTGAAAAATTGCATAATATTGTTAAATAACTCAATCACGAAGAAGGTATTTTTTTCAAATGGAAAGAAACACCTTACTAGCGTTGAAGGGGTGGCTTGGGGTGGGTAGGGGAGGGGGGGGGGAGGGGATGGAGGAAGAAACAAGCGGGAGTTGTTACTATTCCCCCGTTTCTTTTTGTATCTCTTATAATGTTTGGTTTTGTTTATTTGCTTTTTGTTTTCATAACGTATCGCTTCTCGTGTGGCACTATTTTATTTTCAGCCGGAATTTATTTTTTTTTCAGAGCTTATCCTATTGAAGTCAGTCATTCTTAGGTTAAGTAAGCAAGCGGTCCTTATTTATCGCTTGGGGGGTCCCCTTGGTTTGGATTCACTCTGTAGCAGATAAGCATAGGCTTAAAAGACACTCATCCTTTATAATGATCGCCTCAATTTTTTTACGGCGAAGAAGTCCTGGAAAGGCAGAGAACTCCTTAATGTAAACACGCAGTGTCCACTCAGCATAGATTTGTGTTGTTTTATATTAAAGAGCCATTATTAATATTGTTTTGATTACATCATTAGGGGGAGGTAATAAAGCAAAATCGCATTTATAGTACGAGCAATCTCATTAGAATTATCATCAATGCTAATTGAGGGCAGGGATTTTCTAGGCGAGTTATAATTCGTAAAATAAACTTCTTGAAATAATTACGGACTCTAAACGTACTTCGTAGAAAGAAGTTTTCGAAACTGTGAACGAGTTGATAACTTTTATTGTAAGTTTAATGTGTTCTCATGAGGCCTATATATTTGTGAACAATCTCCATCATTTACCCTAGACAGAAGTGTAAAAATAGGAATAATTGATACAGTAAACACGACTTATAATGCAACGAAAGTAAAAACAACGTTTAACCAAGAAATCTAAACATGAGATTCCATGTCATGATCCATTTGGCATAAATCCTTAAAAATAAGATGGGAAAAACTGGTGCATAAATACCATTACTTTTGAAAGAGTAACTCAATATTAAAGCTAATGGACTAATTGTGGACAACTGTCAATCCTTTTGTCCTTATAGCAAAAAATATATTCGCATTAAGAACTAAAAGTCATTTAATTCTGTAATTGACAGCAAATTTGGTCCGCCAGATCATTACGGGCTACAAAGGGATGACATAGGGCGTCATGTAAGACAAGGTAGGTTGCTTTTGTAGGTTGCTTTTCACCCTCTCTTCCTTTCCAAGAAAGCAACATTTTATATGGCTTTCCGGTGTAGTCGTCAAGATTTGAAAATTCGACCAGCTCTGCTTCCGTAATATTTAAACGTCTTCCAAGTGGCTTCCAGCTCTCAGCGATGTTTTTTCGAAATTGCATATAATTCTTCGTCACTGGGCGTGCCATTCTTGACTGAATATTGAAAAAGTGCAGTTAGTGTTTATAGGATGTTTTTAATAAAGTAATTCCTATTCTAATTAATAAATGGATGATTGGTCAGCGTCAATCTTCCTCTCAGAGAAGTATTCCTCGAACTCTTGAGAGGAATGCAATGCATCACTTTGGACTAATTTTTTCAAAACTGTTATGATTCTCTTCAATTGATAATCTTTGGCTAGACATTTCAACTTTTTGATCTGGCCAAATATACCAAACATTCTCTTTTCCCAACCTGTTAATGTTTTGCTCGAGAAAGACAAAAAAAAAAAAAAGAAAAAGAAAATAAAGCAGTTGCGACGTTTGGGGTAGTTTTCCTCCAAGTTTTATGGCAAACAACATTCACAGGAGGGCGCACGCTTGGACAGACGGAGAATTGGAAGGACAGATAGAAGGACAAACGTTCGCACGGACGATTGCCTTACGTTTCTTCTTGCTTTTCTTTTAATGTTTGATTTAGTTTTTTTGCTTTTAATGTTTTCATAATCAATCGCTTCTCGTGTGGTACTAAAATGTCCTGGAGAGGCAGAGAGCTCGTTATTGTTAACTCGAATTAAAGCCTCGAATCAACCAGCATGGATTTGTGTTGTTGTATGTCAAAGAGCTATTATTGTTTTGACCATATTATTGCAAGGAGGTAATGAAATAAAATCGTGACTATATTGTGACCGAAAGTAGAGCTCGTCATAAGAATTACCACCAATATCAATTGAAGTCAGGGGATTTCTACGAGAGCTTTAATTCGTAAAAAAAATTGCTCTTGACAGAATTACGAACTCTATACTTACTCCATAGAAAGAAGTTGTCTAAACTGTAAAACAAGTTGATCACTTTATTCGAGTTTTGAGGTGTCTACCTCAGTTAGATGTATTCGTGAACAATTTCGATCATTCGCTAATGAATACTATAAAAGCAGGAATAATTAATACAATATATATAATTAATCAGAGGGCGCCTGTGGCTAACTCGCGGATAAAATATCAAAGAGATATATACATGTAAAGTTGCTATCATTAAACTAAGGTGTTGAAAAAAGGTAGAAAGTAGAATCATTGCAAGTATAGAAATTATCGCACTTGAATATGTGATGGAAACTCCCCGGGGGGCGGGGTACATGGGTCACTTTTTGCTGGGTATGTACAGCTGGCTTCTCAGAACCACTACCGCAATTTAGCCTATGTTGTGGCCAATTATAGACCCCATCTTTGTACGCTTTTGGGCAAGACCGGAATGGAATGGGAGCCGTTTATTAAATATTAAAATACGGTAACAACTTTTTTACCATGAATCTTCCTGTTTATGAATCCTTACTTGCCATAATTTTCTTACGCCTAAAATCTAACAAATGTGTAACTCCATTCTAGAAAATCTATTGAAAATATCTGAAAATGCAATGCCATAAAAGTCAATGCAATCGTGAAAGTGTGACCCTATCCAGCGGCACATTGTTAGCCTATCTCTTGGAATGTTAACCCTCACCCACCCCCTCCCTCCCCTTCTCTGAATTAATATTTGAGCGTAGAAATGGCAAAGAATGATGAAGCAAAATATAGCACATATTTACTCCAGGTTGAGAATAACCACCGTGATTGCAGCATTCCCACGTGCGTGAATTACTTGTAACATATGGGAAATACAAGCATGTTACACCGAACTTGTAAGCAGAAGAGGCCGATTACTCGCGATTTCTCATAGTTTTTAATTTCCCTTTTGTTTTTCAGTATACGGATTTGCTTTTATTTTTTTAAACGGTGCGATAGAAATTAATTGGAAAAGCGTTCCTTGAAATAGGAAGTCGTCATGTGTTTTGAGCGAAAAAGATCGTCAAGCGATCAAAACAACACCGGCCATATAATGGTCACGTGCTCGGAAACGGCTTGTAGAAACCTATCATATTTCATTCTTACCATCAGGGGTGCGGTCCTTTGGGAGGATCTGGCTAAGGATTTGAGATCCAAGATTCCACAGATCACGATGCATGAAAGAAACGGAGTTTTAGACGATCTCTCAGAGAATTCAAAAAAGTTTGCTATTTAAGACTTGTGTAATCACGTGGGTACTTGAGCTCTTCCCTGAATGGCTCGTCTAACTGCACGGGCTTTTAGCGCACACAATTGTTCTAATTAGCACTATTCATTAGAAGCACGTACATTTTTTCATAGTAAACTCAAACAATGGAATTAAGACAGGAGCAAGTATTGATTACGATATGGATGCTTGGGAACCCTAAATACCTGCGGTCAGTGGCCGATCGATTTAACATTACAAAATCGATTTTATTTCGTGTGTATCGCAGAATTTGTGGAGCGATTGCCAACAATCTTTCCGGTCAATATATGAAGTACCCACTTATTTCAAATTGAGCACCGCTTGGCAAAATGATTAATTTCGGATCCCTCGCCCAAAGGAATGTGATGGATGAATGATCCAATGATCCGTCTTTAGATCACGCAGATCAGTGATCCGATGAATCCTTGTCCAGAGTGGATTTGATAGATCACTGATCTGAAAATGGATTTTCAGCTAGATTTTCTCTGGTTAAAGACTCGTGCTTTTTAGCCATGATATTCGCTACTATGGGCTACCAACACAAAATATTTCGACAAATTTTGAAATTAATTTGTTCCTCGCTACTTAATAAAACTCTTGAGCAGGCATTTTCTTACAACAGTGTACTTAAAAATCAAACATTATTACCTGCAGTCGCTTTTTTTCTTTTAGGGTCTGAACAGGAAGGAGGAGGCGACTCAGCATCCGAATTATCTGGATAAAACGACAAGAAATCGTACCCACAGTTAAACATATTGCATTTCGTATTTAACAGAATAATTAAAAAGGTTCCAAAAAAACCACTTTCAGTTATCCTCTTAACCAGAATAGATCAAAAGAGCACCAAAGTATGGGTTCACTGTCTTTTATGCATAAAAACTAATCAAAACTGTCTTTTTACAAATAGGCTGGGTCTTGCACAGGCAGCCCAAGCATACTGTGAGTGTGATTTTGGGGGTTAATGGTGATTAACAGGAATACCTAATAAATTAAATGAAATTCAAGCGTGTACCGTAAAAAGAGAAAAATAATAAAAGAATATTAAAAAGTATTTAAAATGATAATAGAAGCTATAAAATAGTGTACAACATGCAGTACAAAGAAACTCGACTCAATTAATGATAAAAAATTACAATTTCTGAGGAAAGAAGAATAGGCAAGTTGAGAAAGAAAGGGACAATTTTCATTAAGAAACTGACAAAGAAGGCTTAAATTGTTTAATGTCGTTCTGTTTCTATGGTGATTGAAACCAAGGTTGTGCTTGGTTGATTAAAACTTCAACTTTGAATGTGATTGGTTGATTTGAACTGCAACTTTGAGCGTGATTGGCTTATTGAAATGTCCGATAACAAACTGTGCGATGACAACTTGGCAAGTGAAGAGTTTTTTAAGACATGGACAATCGAGGGAATAATAATGGTAAAAGGGAAGGGAAAAATAAAAAGGGGTGCTTCAAAGCTCTGGCAAAAGGTGAAAAAATGCGGCGAAAGGTGATTCACCTTTTTAATATCGTTTGATACTAAAAAGTTGGCCTTGAGGAATGTAAGGATTTGGGAAGAAGGTATTTGGAATAGGAGAAAAACGACTTTCCTTGAAAAAATAAAACTGCTCGGAAAGCAAAAAATCATTATGATGACTTCATGAATAAAGAAGCCATGAACTACGTCCTCTGACTACAAGTCTCTCTTCTCGATTTCAGTAATATATAATGAAACAAGAATTGTTTTTGCTGAATTCGATGCTTCTTTAAGGAAATGAATTAAAGGCGAAAATCAAACAAAGCGTTGACAGAGTTAATAGGCATTACTGTTGAGTTCAATTACTGAACCTGGGAATTTCCCTATAATTCTTCTTAGATTTTTCATCTACGGAATTAACAAGTTTTTTTGATAAAATACTTTGAGCAGCACTCGGCGCACCACCACTGGATCGTGTGTATCGCCGTCCTCTTCGAGTTGAAGGTTCCTGCGGTGCACCTTGCACAAAAGAATCTCCAGAAAGACGAGAATAGATTAGATTAACTCTCTAACTACCTTCATTGTTCCTTCTTTTCTTCCTCCCCTCCCCCTTACCTTGCTACTTCTCTCCCTACGATTCCTCTGCCTTTCTTTCTGTCCTCCTCCACTACTTCTTATTTCCTTCCCTCCTTCCATCCATCCCTTTGTCCTTCTCTCCCATCTTCCTCCACCCTCCCAACCTTCCTCCTTCTCTTACTCTCTCCCTTCATCCATCCCATACCTCCCTCTCCTCCTTTCAATTTCTCCTTTTTTCTCTTCCTCCTCTCCTCTCTCTCTTCGTCCTTCTCTTTCTTCTTCCCTCCCCTCTCGCTACCCGGCATCATTTGCATTTTATACTCTGGTTAAAGAATCGTGCTTTTTAGCCATGATATTCGCTTCTATGGGCTACCAACACAAAATATTTCGACAAATTTTGAAATTAATTTGTTCCTCGCTACTTAACAAAACTCTTGAGCAGGCATTTTCTTACAACAGTGTACTTAAAAATCAAACATTATTACCTGCAGTCGCTTTTTTTCTTTTAGGGTCTGAACAGGAAGGAGGAGGCGACTCAGCATCCGAATTATCTGGATAAAACGACAAGAAATCGTACCCACAGTTAAACATATTGCATTTCTTATTTAACAGAATAATTAAAAAGGCTCAAAAAGACCACTTTCAGTTATCGTCTTAACCAGAATAGATCAAAAGAGCACCAAAGTATGGGTTCACTGTCTTTTATGCATAAAAACTAACCAAAACTGTCTTTCTACAAATAGGTTGTACAAGTAGGGTGATAAACAGGTATGTCAAATAAATTAAATGAAACTTATGCGTGTGCCCTAAAAACGAAAACAAATAAAAATAATAATAATTATGTACAATGATAATAGAAGCAATAAAACAGTGCACAACACGCAGTACAAAGAAATTCGACAAAATAGCGTTAAAACGGCCGGAAGCGACGAGGCGACTATCATGTAATTCTTTATGTATCCATCGTTTAAATTATTACTTTAATATTTATCCAATGAACCTTAGACCTCGCAAGCGGTGATTGTTAAGAATGATCTTAAAACCTTTTTGTTTCCTTTTATTCTCTTTGTTTTGATGTTCATCGGTTTCTTTGCTCTTTTTTTGCAGGACCGGCAGTGTTTTCTTCACGCCTCTTGGGGTTGCTCGTTTTGAGAATCGGTTGCCATTGTAAATCATATCATGCAACTTTTGTCTGCGCCTACACTAGAAAGTTTACATCGTTTAATAGCGTTTTTATACAGCAAATCCGAGTCACGCTGATTATAACTTGCGTGTGGATTTTTTTATTTTTTTGAATACAGAATTCCCTCGATACAAGTATCTACTTTTTCAACCAACTGAACACTTACCTTCGAAGTGAGGCCAGAACTCAAAAACTCTAGAATCTTTTAGAGTGTGTGAAACTAGAGACGCTGCCATAACACTGGCAAATGGTCTCCAAAGATCAGTTTCAGATTTGTTCCCATCGGCGAAGTCTGACACGCCCTTAATGACAATCCACTCCACTTTGAGATCATGGGCAGCTACGCAAAGACCTAGAAGAAAAGCATTTTTTGGCCTATAAGAGACACTGAATAGACGCCGGGGTTTTAAATTGCCTTTTTAAAAAATTAAATGAGACTCACGGAAGGACAGATAGAAACAGCGAGACACAGACAAATAGACACGACCAGGTCAAATAGAGAGACGCATAAACAGCAAGAAACGCAGACATACAGAGAGACCTCAAGGGATGGATATGAAAAGTTGTTTCACAAAGTGATGGGGAGCAAGTAAGGAAGAAGTGAAGAGAGCGAAAACTAAGTAAAATATAAAAAAAAACAACAAAAAAAAAGGCACAAGAGTTTTAATTTTCATTGTTCTTGTTTTTGTTTTTGATATTTTTAATGTGGATTTTACTCCTCCTGCAACTGCCGTTTAACTGTAGCTGATACTCCGCCACTTAGACATGTTTCGTTCCTAGGTTCCAAGCTCAGGGAGAATCGATTGTTATGATTATGAATGTAAGTTGGGCTAATTTTGATGTAACTTGCAATTTTTATTCATCTTTGAGGGCAAGGCGGTCAAAAATACTACTTACAGTTATTATCCATCAACAATCCAGCATAAAATTTAAAAAATAAAAATGAAATGATGATAGAACTTAACTTAATTCAGCAGCTGAATGTATCCTAGCATGTGTAACAGACAAAAAAAGGGGCCAACAGACATTAGAGGCAGAAAGCCAGAAAGAAAGACAGATGGCCAAACAGGACCCTGCACAGATATAAATAATCATAAATACATAGTTTTACTTTTCATTAATTACCTTCCCCTTCCATCTCAATTGCTGTTGCTTCTGGATATCGTTTGATCAGTGCATCACGTCGTTTTCTGTCGTTAATCACCTCAGGCCCACTCAGAAATACGCCACCTCTGCGTGGTTTCACCTTCTGACCGGTTGAGTACTTCACTGGTGGTTTCCATCCATCTCCAATGTGTCTGGCAAGAGTTGCCAAATCCCTATTTAAAGGAACTTTAACACCTCGCTCCTCGACCATATCTCCCTCTTGTTTTATGGAGGCATAGGTAATTAACTTTGAGCACACGACCACATCACCTAGCTCTGCTTTCTTCTCGTTTAAACTAGCACAGAAACCCACACTAAACACAGCTTTCGGTCTTAAGATGCGGACTGCGTTTGGGACAACAACCAGAGAACCACCGGTAGTGCTAGAACCCATATTGCATTTCATCACTGAAACCTTCACTTCCTCGTGCTTGTTGTCACGGACATTTCCGAAGTATACAATGCCAAGGGGTTTGCGATTACTCCTCACGAAACCTTCTTTGAGAAAGGAAAGACAACTTAGAAATTCGCAGTCCTTTACCGTCAGCAGAAGAAAATGGACCGGTAGAAAGTCTCTTTGGATGTTTTCCCACGGCTCTGAGTGGTCCGGGAGATTTTCAATCTCTAGCACTTCAACATCTACCTCTGGTGGTTTTGTTTTGCTTGTTGCTTGATGCGCACTTTCAGCAGTGATAGCGTCCGACATGTTTTACAGGTTCCTGGGAATAATTATGTGATTAATGAGATAGTTATGATATTCAATACTCAAAATCAATGCTGATCAGCCTTTGGCTGTCTGAGTCCTCATTTACGTTAGAAATACAGTCACCTCTTAGGTGTGTTTAGCATAAAATCGACTGTGATAAAATAATAGCAATAGTATGCCAAATTATATCAAAACTGACATGAGCTAACTAGCTAGCTGGATAGAAATTTAGTGATGGATAATGAATCAAAGCAAAGTTAATACGAAGTAGGGGAGGTATTTTTTCCTCAGTGTTATGTTTCACCGGTCATTTAAGCTCCTGTTTCATTACATTTCGATAAAGTTACATCGATAACAAGAGGATTCCAGTTGAAAAAGGACAATTATCAATGCAAGAGACATTTAGTGGGAAGGGTGACTTTTTCATTCATGGTCAGTTGGCCCTAATTGGGCTATCTCAGCCACTTTAATGGACCCTTTTCGGTCTTACATCATGTGAAATTCTGTGGGGGATTGCCATGATGAATGGTCTTCTCAAATACAAACTCAGCTAGAAATTGAAAAGACGGTATCCGCCGCTTTCGCCCCCTATCGAGTTCGCGCCTTCGAGTTCGCCCCTACCTTATATCGTGTTCGCCCCCGCACTTTTCGAGTTCGACCCCACCAAGTCGAGTTCGCCCCCAGATTGAGTCATGTCTAAATTAGTTGCTATTGAACATTGCAAACAAGTTAGAACCAAGTTTGTCTACCCAACATTTCGTGTTCGTCAGATAAACCGAGGTTGGTTTGCATCTTTTCCAGTCTGAATAATAAGTTAAGCAATGTTATTTTGATTAAGTGTGGTTCTCTTTATCACAAGTTCAGTGTATACAGTTATTTCTGGTATTCCCAGATCCCACGCAGAGTATTTAGTTGATTCCGTCAACCCAGTTCCCAAGCAGGTTCCACTCAATTGCCGAAATTCAAAATGGTCTTCGCTGACGTGACATTTGGCACATTCTGCTAGTGCCTTCGTCACAAATCAACTCATCTGGATATCACTCAATCAAGGGGCGAAATCGAACTAGACTTGATGGGGTCTAACTCGAAACGTGTGGGGGTGAACACGGCATAAAGTAGGGGCGAACTCGATAGGGGGCGAACGCGGTGCAATTCGAAAATACGAATAAATCCACATAAGGTTGTCCAAGAAAGGTGAACAAAAGCCTCTACGGTTGTAAGCCTCTCATTGAACGTAATCGTTGCAAACAAGAGTCAAATTGTGGACATCCGATCCCTATGTGATCGTAATTTACGTCGCATGCTTCGGGACGGGGACTATTGACTCGGCCACGATATTATTGGTAAGCTGCATCTTAAGCAAGTATGCATAAGTATTCCCTATACTCATACTTTTATATGATCGAGGTATATGCCAGTTGGGAAAAATTTTGTTCCTGAGAGATTCTTACTTTTTAACATGGATTGATTCTTTCATTGATTGATCGATTCATTTTCAAATGATATATTTCTTCTTTCCCTTGCTCTAAGCTGCTGAGATCAAAGTTTATGCTGGTGAGGAGTGAAACGTTTGGCTAAAGAATCTTCACTGTTAGGCACTGATTGAGCGTTTTACAGTACATTTAGATGCAGAGTTTTTAGTGATTAATTTTTACCTCGCTCTACACCACTATGCTGAAGGTATAACTCTTTAAACCCTAAGAGTGACTAGCATCTAATTTCTCCTTACTATATCACTCCTGAATCAAACACGAAAGTCATGAGAACAGAGGAGATGATCACCAACCGAAGCAGCTCTTGATTGTTAAACAGATTCTCCTTGTCAGCCTCTTTGGAAATGTATGGAGAAAATTATGGAGATTATGCATACTGATGTTAGGGTGTAAGCAATCCATACTGTTGGGTATTATAATTGACCATTTTCCAGTAAACATAGGACTACTTCTTAGGTTTAATTTTCTCCTTCCTCTACACTATTTTGATCAGGGTGTGTGTTAGTTAGGAGTAAAGCTTTTAGCTGAGGATGTTTCGCACCTCAGGTTAGGGTACTACTCGGGTTGAAGACACACCAGGAAAATAAAGTCTACGGAATCTACCAATTGTTTTTTAACTACTTTGATGTCATAATTTCCGATGTTGCGACAGCAAGCTAAGTGTGTAATCAACTGAAAAGAAAGGCATGCATTCCATTGCTTACTTGTGAATCGACTATAAAAGCTTGACGAATCGAATCTAATCGAAAATGAAATGAGCAAACTTGCTTCAACAAATGTGAACATACTTACAATTCTGTAAGGCGTGATTCCATTTATGACACGGCTATTTTTCTATCTTATTTAAAGAAAAGGTATAAACTTTATGAACACTGTTTTCAACGACAGAATTTTTTCTCATTGATCCTTCAGTTTCCCTAATCACGCTAGTCCTATAAGCAAGCTGAAATCTGATTGGCTTAATTTTAAGAAAGAATAATAATCTTGCGTGTTCGGCTTTATTGCTAATAAAAACGATAAAGAAAATACCGTGACTCAAAATTAATCACAGCTGTCAACGGAGTGCAAAACAGTGGAATCTTTACAGTTACTCATTGATTGATCAATCACAGTACATTGTAGGAGCAGTACTTCTAATGATTATTTTTTTTCCTTGGCTCTACACTACTGTGATCAAGGGGTATCTACCAGTTAGGAGTGAAGATTTTTGGATGAGGAATCCTTGTTGTAAGGCATCGATTGATAATTTTATACCACATGTAGGTACAATGCTTCAAATGCTCAATTGTTTCCCTTGCTCTACACTACTGTGATCAAGTTAAATGTCGGCAAGAAATAAATTCTTTCCGGAGGAATCCTTTCGGTTAGGCGTTGATTGATCATTCCACAATATCCATAGATGCAATGCTTCTAATGATTATTTTTTCCCCTAGCTCTACACCACTGAAGTCAAGGAAATTGCCATTTAGGAGTGAAACTTTTTTTGCTGATGAATCCTTTCTGTTAGGCAATGATAAATTATTTACAGCACATGTAGGTGCAATGCATCTTATGAGTATTTTTTTCTTTTGGTCTGCACTATTGTGATATATATATATACTATATATAAGGTATATGCCTGTAAGTTGTGAAACCTCATTTGCTGGCTGTTATACTTAGATTGATCGTTTTACAGTAAACGCATGTGCAATGATTCTAGTGATAAATTTTCCCCTTGCTTTGCATTACTGTGATCAAGGTACCGGTATAGACCTGTTAGGAGTGAATATTTTTTTGCTGAGAAATCCTTATTGTTAGGCATTGATTGATCATTTTGAAGTACTGTAGGGTCACTTTTTTTAATGCTTAATTTTTTTCTCTTGCTTTAAACAACTGTGATTAATGTATATGCCAATTAGGAGTGTGATCGAGGTAGGTGCCAGTTAGGAGTGAAGATGGTAGCTGAGGAATCCTCACTGTTAGATATTGATTGATGACTTAAAGCAAATGTCCCTTTCTTCAAAGTACTGCGATCAATGAACGTGTAGGAACAATGCATCTAGTGACTAAATTTATCTTCTGCTCTACACTATCTTGATCAAGGTATATGTCAGTTAGGAGTAAAGTTTTTAGCTGAGAAATCCTTACTGTTATGATGTAATTGATAATTTTACAGCTGAAGTAGGTGCATTGCATCTTATGACAATTTTTTCACTCTGCTCCACACTCTTGTGATCAAAGTATATGCCAGTTAGGTTTTTAGTTGAGGACTCCTAACTGTAAAGCATTGATTGATCAATTGCACTACATGTAGAGGTGCAATGCATCTTATGATTATTTGTTTCCTTTGCTCTGCACCATTGTGCTTGAGGTATACGCCAGTTAGTAGTGAAGCTTTTATTGGTCGCTGATGGATTGTTATTGTTAGGCTTAGATTGATACTTTTACAGTACATGCATGTACAATGCTTATATTGATTATTATTTTTCTCTTGTTCTATTCCACCATGATTAAGATAAAAACTAGTTCCAAGTTAAGCTTTTAGCTGAGGAATCCTAATCGGCAGGCATTGATTTATCATTCTACTGGACATGTACGTGCAGTGCCTTTCATGATTACATTTTTCCATCGCGCAAAACCACCGTAATCAAGGTAATTGCCAATTATTGATTAATCATTAACAGGGCATGTTGGTGCGGTGCATCTACTGATTAGTCTTTCCTTGCTATGCACTTCTGTGTTCAAGGGATATACCAGCTAGGAGTGAGGCTTTTTGCTGATAAATCCTTACCATTAAGTATTGATTAAATATTTACAGTACATTTAGGTGCTATCAGTTTCATTTGTTAATTTTTTCCCTTTGCTCTACAGTACCGTGATCAAGGTATATGCCAAGTCAGGATTGAAGCCTTTTTAGCTGAGGAATCCCTACTGTTAGGTATTGATTAATTATTAACAGGGCATGTTGGTGCAGTGCATCTATTGATTAGTCTTTTCCTTGCCATTCACTTCTGTGTTCAAGGGATATACCAGCTAGGAGTGAGGCTTTTTGCTGATAAATCCTTACCATTAAGTATTGATTAAATATTTACAGTATATGTAGGTGCTATCAATTTCATTTGTTAATTTTTTCCCTTGGTTCTACAATACTGTGATCAAAGTATATGCCAAGTAAGAATTGAAGCCTTTTTAGGTGAGGAATCCTCTCTTAGCCATTGATTAATTATTTAACAATACATGTAGATGCAATTCTTTTAATGATTAATTTTTCCCCTTGCTCTACACTACTGTGATCAAGGTATATGTCAGTTAAGATTGAAGCTTTTTTTAGCTGGGGAATCCTTTCTGTTAGCCATTGATTGATTATATTACAGTATATGTAGGTACAAGGCTTCTAATTATTAATTTTTGGAGCGCTCTAACTAATTGGATTTGGGAAAGTAGTAAAATTAAGGTTGATTTTACAGACGCATTACCTAAAGTTTCACTATAACATTGAAAAATTGGCATGTCACTTTTGTCATCGGGAGAAAATTTTAAGTG